ACTATTAACTTAAGCTATTTCATATATGTTAAAAATCAAATATACGTCAGATTATGATATAACTCAATATTTACCAACTAATTATATATATCTAGCTGGGTGCAGATAGCCGCTTCCATCTTATTCAGTCGTATCAAATAATATTGTTGCTATTCGGATGCCAAAATCAACAATAGGCAGCCTCGCAAAGAATGAAGCTGCAAATAATATGAATTAAAATTAAATATTTATCTTTGATCTAATTATGTCTCTTGAAAATTTTCGGCGACAAAATATTGTTTTCAACCATGTGTGTTTACACTGTTCTTTGATTGTATGTTGATCTAAGAAGAAAAGAAAACTTGAAGTGTTGTTGGATTCTTTCTACCGAGCACGCAAAACAACACAGAAAAAGAAACAAAAAGCAACTTGGTAATTTTTTTATGCTGCCAATAAATACAGATGGTCACCTTTTAGTTTCTCATTTTTGTTGTCAATATCATCTCTAAGGTAGTGAATACGAATCGTAAGTATTTCATATAGTATGATATTTATTTTGTTTTTTCCGTAATTGTTCAAAGTGTTTTGTAAATCTTGTATGATAAAATTATATAAAACATCAAACTTCTCATGCTGCCATATTTTGATGTAATCATTGCTTCACTCGTCAGTCCACATATCATCCATTGACCATTGCAAATTAGAAAAAATAATACGACAACCATTACAAGCATTAAGAGAAAGATTTATATTCGAAACTGAGAATTTTCTTACAATCAATGATTACTGTGCGGTTAAATAGAGTTAAGATTTTGATTTAATGTTATAGAACTTTCAAATTTCTTTAATATACTTTCACGGGCAATGGTCCGATCATCTGAAATGACTCGAAACCGTGGAAAAAACGATCTTGAGGATGAATGAGGGCACACGTGGGTGAAAGTGTGTGTAGATGATCCTATCTGAATCCATGCTCATACGCAGCCACACTTACGCCCACACCCACACCCGCCAAGCGGAATTCAAACGGTTTGATCCTCAGTCAAACTGAAATTCAAATTTGCTGCATGTCTCATATACGATCATTGCATTTTGAAAGTAATAGGTGAAATACGAAACGCGAGCCGAGCTCTGAAAATCACTAGCTTACTTGTTCCTAATCTTATTTTGTGATACGAACTATAAAAGTTTGCTTCTTTTTTTCAAGTTTCATGGCTAACAAAAAGTACCCACTGTTATCGCAAAACAAGAAGAGCGAATGAATATTTTCTAAGTTTCTTTTTATAATGTAACATTATCTCGGACGTGTATATGAAGGTTTGTTCTTATTTTTTACACGCAGAAAAGAAACCCCTTCAAAGTGAATAATTTTATTACCAGTTGTCAAGAAAACAAAGAGTTCTTACCAACTTAGACTATTCACTTTGTTTGCCACTCTTCCAACATCAATATTATAAAAACTTCAGTTAACTTTGCCTACAATCCGAGAATCTGGTATCTTCTACACTTCGCTGAGAGAAATCATTAGGGACACATGCATGAAAAAGGCACAATAATAACTGCTTTAAGATCAGCCAGAGGAACTACAAATATTTTGTGTCACCCTTTCTACAGTGATCATCTTGTCTTTTGGAGGGTGTGGATGAAGGTGCAGATGTGTCTCCTCTCTTCACTCTCCCTCAAGATGCACCTTCACACCTAAGGCATTTATTGTAATCATCCTGTTCCTATTCTAACGAAAAATAGCAAATGCTACAGAACCTGTTATATTCTTAAAAGATCCTACGACACTCATTATTTTGTTTTGCAGTACATCAATCCACAAAGAAAACGAAATTCTTCTATAATGCAAATTTTGGGGGTGTGATGGTGAGTGAAGGGAAGACATACACCCATATTCTCCACATGGCCCTATAGATACATTATTAAGATCAACTAATATTACATTTTATTCTTGTGTTTTAGAGAAAAAAAGGTGAATTTGAAATAATCTAATTAATTTCTTTGAATAATAATCAACTGGATATTCGTTCATAATTAATAATATTAAAACAATTTCAACAATGAACCGTTTTAGTGATATTGAATTAACATTCAAAAGACTTCCACCAGTCTGTGGTTATCGTAGTGAAAAGCTTGTTTCAATCGAAGAAGCTTTAGAACCGATAGAACCACAAATTGGCGAACTAAAATTTTATATAATAACAGCCAAAAAACATTGTCATTATTCATCAGAACACGGATTAACACGTGATGAATCAGCTGCTATTTATATCTATACAATGGAATGGGGTAAAACGAGTTTATATCGTCTTCTTAATAAAGCATTAAGAGATGACAATAGACAAAACATCATAATCTGGTTTCCTTATTTAAAGTTATTCGATACGGCATTAGATAAATTACCAACTGTCAAAGATAGTGTATGGAGAGGTATTTCTCTTGATATTGGAAAGAATTTTACCAAAGATCAATTTTTAACATGGTGGACGGTAAGTTCTTGTTCATCTTCAGTTAGTGTTATTGCAAAATTTCTTGGAAATGATAAATCTGCAACTCTTTTCATAATTGAAACTGTTAATGGAAAAAGAGTGTCTGGCTACACAGCATATGAAGGTGAAGATGAAGTTATTCTAAGAATTGGAACAGAACTTCGTGTTAAAAGTGATCCACTAAAACAATCTAATCAAACACATATTGTGCATTTAATGGAAATTGATGATGAGAACCGATGGAAATCGCTTGAGGAAAATCTTATTGCCGCAACAATCCCATCAAAGCAAGAAGCATCGAGTAAGTCACTTTCATTCTTTTTGTAAACAACAAACGGGAAACTCTGATTAATCTAAGATTTTAAGAGAATTGTGAAAAATTTCATCTTCTATTTATATATATAAAGAAGAGTGTTTATTTGATTGTTCTGTACGCATTCAGTCCCTGTAATAACTAGCGTCACCAAACTTTTCATGACATACTCCCTGGTCTAGAGAAAAATTGAAACATAATTGGAGCAACAGAGAAAAGTAGGAAGGGAGTTTAATGAAGTCCCATTTAGGTTAAATATGTTATAGTTTCCACCGATTTCTCAGAAACTATTGAGAATTCACTCCGACTTCAGACTATATTCTTTTCGCTTATGTGTCTTTGTACTTTCTCTAGATCGAGAGCTACTGACTGATCGAAAGTTTCTTGACGGTGTGGGTGCGGGTGTGCGAGAAGAATAATACCCACACCCATCCTAAAGATGGGTTATGATGGATCATGGTCGAGTAGCCCTAATTGAGAATGCAGGCCTGCTTTACATGGATCAGAATCCACGTTAAGGTTGGCAAAGTACCAAACCAAGACGTCTGTCGTGGTTTGTAATGTAAATAGTTTCTTCGACATTTTTTCTCGACTGCCTGTGAGATAATTGTTATATTCACGTTTCCTGTTATATGCTTCAATAATAATTAGCAGTTTCGTTTAGAAACAAGCGTCCATGAAACTAATACTTCGAAAGGGAATAACTTGGACAAATTCGAAAATGACATGGATAAACTGCGTAAAGAAGTAGGAGGCAACACAGGAGTACCCTTCGTGGACTTGAGTGACATAAACGGTTACAAGCGAGTAGCATGGGCTACAAATGCTCCAGAATGGCGAACTGCTGTTTATGGAATAAATCTCGAAGGTTTCTGCAGCAATACCACATGTAAAGCGTATGATCAACGCGTCATAATCGGGATCGGTATGAAGACATTTGATCTTCTCGGTGATGCAGATGCGTCTACTACTAAATGCCCCATATGTCAACAATATGTAGAAGCGACTACGTGCGGTTTCAGCAATTGTTATTGGCGGTGGGAGGGTGTCAAGCAGTTACCTCGGCAGCCACCGACTCGATGTTCGAATGACTGGACGGTAGCAGACAATGCCTATCATTACTTTGACCAAACACTTAAAGGAACTGCAACAACAAGCGGTACAGCGATATGGCGCAAGCTAACGATAGAAGCCAAACCACTGAAAAACTAGTTTTATTACCCAGAAACTGAGCTCTTCGATTAGGGTGTGGGTGTGATCTATATCGACACCCTAATTTATCCTTGACGAACAATCATACATATATATATTCTGTGAGGATATATGAACAAAATTTTTTAAATAGATTAAGCAGTAAGGAGTAGACGCATTACTACTACCAACAGATATTTTAGATTTATACAAACAATGCAATTTTGAGGGTGTGAGTGTGAGTGGGTAGATGTGGGTCCAGTGCGTGAGTATGTGAATGTGGGTGGATAGGTTTGGGTGTGGGTGTAGGTGCGGTGGATGTGGATGTGAGTGAGAGTGGGTGTGAGCAGTTCTGCCATCTTTTGCCCTTCGAAAAGCTGAAAATGATAGGACTTCAATTGTCAAAAAGTAGACAATGGTTTTTAATATCAGATTATGGTTTAAGCCCAGCCGTAATAAAATAATAAGAGAAGTTACCATTATATTTTATATTCTAGCGCACAAAATCTAAAAAACAATGTTAAACATACATAAACACATTTACTGAACAATTTTTTTCAAAGGTATATTTTGCATCTGATCTAATAGCGTTCAATATATCCTAGTTCGATAATGTATGCTTGTACATATCAGTACATTTTAAAATAGCATTTAAACGTATTTTTAATTCAGCTGACACTAATTCTGTTGTCGCACAGTTCCGCTTGTCATTTACTAAATGTTTGATTTGTGAAAAAACAGATTCAACATAATCATCACTGTAAGGTACTGAAAATAAAAAACAGAAGAGTTTTTTAAAATTTGGTTATGGAGTAAGAGAAAGTACTAACATCCAGAGTTGACCGGATCTTACAATCTGACTTTGTCTTAAATGATTATTTTGGAAAAATAGTCGGTTAAAATATTGAGAATTTTCATTGAAATATAAAAGACAAAAAAATCTAAAAAGCAGAAGCGACAGAAGAAAAGCAGATTTTTTTTGCTAAAAGCAGAAGTGGTGATAGCACTGGGCGTGAGAGAAAAACAACATCTATATCACACTGTTACTCTCGCCTACCACATGCACACTAACAAAAACAGATTGAAAAGTCCGTTCTTTACAGTTAGATATCCACTAGTCCGAGTAGACTAGGTACTGAACCATTTGATCGTTCTTTCATTCATGGACCAGTACTTTTCTCTTTTAGAATATGTTGTAATTAATCAATTTTCAGACTTTTAAAAAACGTTCGACCCTGAAGTATTCCTCAAGGACTGAAAAACAATCAGTTTAGTAAAAATAACGATTTTCTCACTTCATTATCTTTAATTTTACTTGAAAATAATATTTTAGAAGTTTGCAATTTAATATACACTATCAAAATTATTTTCTCACTAAATTGATTTGTTACACACTTCTGAGAGGAACCAAGATCAAAAATTTTTAAGAGTCTGAAAATCGATTACAAGTTTTCGCGTGATATCGAATTCAGTTCAAGTACAATAAACTGGCGGATTTACGTATTCGTTCAGTTATGCACATTCAAAGTCATAGTCCTCAGTTGATCAAGATATTTCATACAACGAGGGTAAGTAATCTGAACACTTGCTGACGTATGGTCTTCTGGCAGAACATATATGTGAATAGATGATCTACAACTTTATCTTCAAACAATTGAGAAATAGTTGGTATATATTGCCAATCGAATCTCGGTGTGTCTGCTGCTTGTATAATTACAAAAATTCATTTCATTCACTCCTTATCTTTCAGAATACATATTAATGAGGGCAAGTTGTTCTAAGAGGTGGACAATAATTATATTATGTTTGTGAAGCATATAAAAACAAAATACATTGTCCGAGATATTTGACTTTATCGGTTTTCGAGTATAGTAACACACGAATGACTAGACATAAGTAGAATGTGTAAACTATTTCTGTATAGAATAGAGATACACATACGAATACAAACAGTTGAGTATTGATATAAACAGCATAATCCTTTCTACAGTATTTCAACCTTGCATTTATTGAGCGAAATGTTATTCCTAGATTAAATATAGCATATGTTGAGTTCATCAAAAACCAATGATGTTTTATCTAAAATGCACCTTCCAAGCTTTAGAATTTCTTTTCATTGTTTTCACGAACCTAAACTCTATCAAAGATTACCTTGAAACGACTACAGTTTGTTATCCATGAAAAAGATTTTAGTATAATTGACAAACTAGCTTTATGAAAATACTAATAAATAGGTTTATTTATTTGTAACTTATTCTTCAGTTTTGCACCTAAACAAGACATCCAGAGATTGAAATCAAAGGTTAGAGTAAAGTAATCGCTTCTTTTTAATTAATAACTCTATGAAATAATTATATTTCAACATCATATAATCATAATTCATAGATAGGCATAGAGTGGGTATAGGTGGGAAATCACACCTGATATCTTCACACACATAATCACACCAACACCCTGCTTCTCTTGATTCAATTAACTTTGATTTACTGCATATAGGATAACATGACAGATCGATTTTTTTTCATAATAGTTCCATGTATAGATTTAGTTTTATTTATTAAATTAAATTCAAATTAATTTTGCTTGAATAGAAAATGTATTTCAGTTAAGGATGTCCCGTAAATAGAACTGAATGCGTGATCAAACGAATAACTGTTTTAGAATCAAATGGTCTCTGCAGTGACATCGTTAAGAAAAAGTTTAAATAGCTCTTGCATCAGTGTATCGGCCTCTTCGAGTTTACTCAGGTTGATACGACCTCTATTCCAAGTACAACGTGGTAAATTCTCGAGTTTATTGCAGCTTTCCCAAGTGTCGCGAACTTCTTGAAGAACTTTTTGATATTTGCACATTTGAATCTGATGAAAAGAAATATCAGCTATTTTCTCACAAAGAGCTGATCGGCAATTTTGAGACTGAGTTGAACTCCATGTCTCACGAAAACATAGAAGACAACCTAGGATATCACGAAGTTTTGAAAGCACATAAGCAGGAGGATTATTCGGTTTGCATATATCAATCTCTTGAAGATTCGGCAGAAGAGAACTATTACCATTATGATTATTATTATCATCGTCATCGCTATCCATTCCAGATGGATCTGTAATGAGCGTACCTGTAATAACTGGTTTTTGAAGGCATTCCTGCGAATACATCTCGAATAAACTATGAGTTTCATCAAATGTCACAGGGCTCAATTTGGAGTCTTTGTTAATTAAGCGCGTTAGTCTCGCACAATCTGGATAAGGTAACTTTAGATCTCGCCAAAATGTTTTCTCGATCAATATGCTAAGTCGTTCGATCAATAAGGCTGTGTGATGTTGTTCTATTGTAAAGAATGTTCCACTAGAAATATTGGGGAAACGAAAAGATTCAGACGAAATCTGTTGCAAATCTTCATACAGGTCTTGTGTTATACATAAAAATGGACAATTGATATCAATACTATTAATAACATTTTCCAACCCCACATCGATTAGACTTTCTTGCTCATTAAGATAGAAAATTTGTAATCTTGAAGAAGATCTAGCTGTTAAACTTGATAACATAATTACTTTCCAAAGCATCGTGCATGCTGCTTCTTTTTTCAATAGACTCGTATTTGTTAATGGTTTAACTTCATTTTCGTACCACTTATAGATGTCCTTTATATGCAGACGAGGTATTATTGACTGTAGCGATGTATTAAAAACGTGGTTTTCTGTATCAGAATTTTGATGTTGTGTATTGAAGCTTTCATCAAAGTTTGTTCCTAATGTTTCAGTATCAGAATGATATTGCCTTTTCGTGTAATGAAGCAGAAAGCTTAGTTTCAATTCACAAATTTCATCGTATAGAGTGTTATGATTGATTTGATCCGTGCTGTCAATATGATCAGATAATTGCAAATGTCCTAATAAGTCATTTCGAAGTTCTCTTTGCAAAGCATCATAAATTTGACCAAGAGGAGAGCTCGAATATTTACAATCGTTTTTTCTTTTCGATGGGTCGTAATGAGGATTTTTGGGCAATTCATTTAAATGAAGATCTTCTAATACAGGCTTTTTGAAAGTCATCACGTTTGACTTAGCTGAGTCGACAACTATAGCTATAATTTGACAAAGTTGTTCCATTAGTTTCCAGTTCTCATCTGTCGTCCATTCAGCTTTCAAATTATCCATTATTCTCATATGAATATCAAATATATCTTGAACTGAAAACAAAACTGGATTATCAGCGATATTTGTTGCGTTCATTGCAGCTTTGTGATGCATTAGCGTAGTAACAATATCAAGTTCTTCTGATTTTTCTATAACGTTTACTTTCGAGACTTCATCTAGGTTGTTGCATTTTTCTAATCGATACTTTCTTTCTTCCACATCATTTTCGAATTCATTGGCCGGTTGATGATGATACCGTAATAATTTCTCTTCATCAGATGAAAGTTTAAAAATTGAACTTGTACTTTCACTGGGTATGTTCTCAGCGTAGTGTTTTTCCCGTTGTATTAGATTTTTAGCTACATTTGTGACTTTAGAGCTGTACACTTTTTCAAGATTTTCTTTCTTAGTCGGATCAAAGTTACTAGCGTCATACAGAGGATCCCTAAGCTTACCAACGATATTTTGATCCCAACAAACGAAGTACTGATCGCCATCGAGATCACTACCACATATTTTTTCCGGTTCCGGTGGCTCATGCTTACAACAACTAAAAACAATCACATCCTTTAGCCCAGTAAGGCATCTTCCATTTTTTCGTTTCTCGAGGTCTTGTAATGTAACAGTCGTGAATGTGCGCAGATCACCTCGATGAAAGCATGGTTCTTTCGTGACCAAAACTTTTTGCTTTGAGAATTCTTTTAGATTCGAGACTTGTACGAAAACTTCTCCCGATGTTAATACATGCCAAAAATCTGCAACACCAAACAAACGACGCGACTTCTCTACAACAATTTTGAAACGACGCATATAATTCTGATAATAACCAGCCAAAAACGTCTCAAGTAAAGGGCAACCAGCTCCTAACATATTGAATGATTTCACATCGTTATGTTTTATAGAAAATTCAATCGCATCCTTTCTATTTTGTTTGTTTAACCGCTTTTTTAAATCATCAATTGCTAAGCCGGTGATATATGCTTGCATATCTTTGGAATCTTTGGCACAAGAGACAATGAGAGAAATAAGTGCTAAATTAAGGCGTGCCCCTACCATGGGCTGTGAACATTGTACCATCTCAATACTTTTATAACTCCAACGACCTTGTATTTCTGGTGACATGAATTTTTCCTGACTAGGCGAAGGTTTGATGATTCTTTTTGAACCAAGACTTTGATCAACAACAAGCATGCCTTTAAATCCATCTAGACGGACTTGAAATGCTGAGTAATATTCTGGCTGCTGCACAGTCTCATCGTACTCAATCTCGCTATCTTGAAATGTACCAGAATTCCAAGCCGTAGGGCCAATGCTTTGGGCACTAAAAGGAACATTTTTGTATTTTCGCCCTTCTTTCCATCTTGTACTCATCTCTCTTGCCACAGGGATACTTATGCGACCACAACCATCGGTGTGCTTTTCTATATCGTCTTTTTTTCTCACTTTGACTTTTTTGAGATTCATACTGACTGATGGAGTGAACCATAAACCCATTCGCAGAGCCAGTTTTAATTCATAGCCAATGTGTTTGTGAAGAAGTTTGTCTGAAAACATCTTCTTTTGTACGTTCTCATAAGTCAGGACGGAGTAAATATGCATGTTTTTGTACACTCCACTGCTCGTTGTCGTTAAATATTGAAAACATTTGCCAGCTATTTTCAAATTGCTCACGTCTATACTGTTAGGAACTGTAGAATCGTTATTAACAAGTGAAATAGAATTTTCATGTAAAAGGGCTTGTTCTTCGAGAGGGTCAAAGTCTAAAGCTGACCAATCCGCTAAGCTATTGACTATACCTTTGTTCAACCAATTAACATTTCTTTGTTTTAATTCATTTTCAACTTTTACAGTACTTCCGGAAAACTGATCGATTGAGTCGCGAAGATCGCGCATCATATGAACTAGTATTGAAACATTGTGAGCAACCGAGTTAACTTTCAAATCGTAATAGTTATTGTCAAGGAAATCCCAAGCAGAAGCTAGACGACATGATACGTCTATATTTTTTGACGTTTGAACCAAGTTAACTCGCAAAAAACACTCTTCACCATGTAGACGCGTTAAACGTGACGTGTCGAATTCCTTATTCACCGTATGTGTGCGCAACCGACAATATTTCGTAGTATGTCGATCAACTATTATTGTTGCGAACAGTCTGTAAGTACTAGTGCCATGTGATGAGCTCTCTTCTATACCGCAGCTCAAATCTTCATGTAAACGGGCCAACAAGTCCAAACGCACAGGACAGATTTTTGTTATTTTAGCTAAAAATTTAAAGCGTTCCAGGAATGATCCATATTGATAACTCTTTTGTTCGCCTGGAATTAACATAGATTTATAGTGTTCAATTGCTGTGGTATCATTCGAGTCGCGGAGGTGTAATATAGAGCACGAAATATTAGAAGAATGTTCGGAGGAAGTATATGTAGATTTGTGTTCAAAACCCGAGAAAAGTGACCACAATAGGCGCTTGAACTGAGAATGACATTCTATACAAGCTTGACGTCTCTGCTTATGTAAGCAAAGCAAGATATTCGATTGTTTCAACCAAGGTAGAAAAGTACTGAATTGCTCAAAGTCTGTTTTAACTAGAGACCAACCGAAAATGTTTTCATTAATATCTAGTTTAACAAGTTGTTTTATCCCATCCAGTTTAGTTACAGTTTGATTAAGTTCATCACAATCCACTTCCTTTGCGCATGTATCTGAAATCTTTTTCAAGATGTTCGCTATTGTTTTCTTTTTCTTCTTGCTGGTCTCTGTTATCACCGATGGTTTGCAATCGGGATAAATTTGTTCTGCCATAATTATGAACGGTTGAAAAAACGTGTTTTTAATTTTTTACAGTAGCTTGAGTTCCTTGATTAAACTCATAAAGATGTGAAAGTAATCGTTTTAAACACTTTGTCAGAGATGACTTCAGATGGCCGTTGATAAGGATGTAAATTCTCTTGATATATATCTAAAAATACCCGATATTTGTGAACATTTGGTCATGAATTTAAATGAACCTTTCAGATTTAAAACTGAGTATGAGGTCGACGATAAATGATACAATATGCTTTTCTTAAACTCAGCTCTTTTAGATAGAATTGATAAACCTTGGTTGAATTAATGTCTTTTTAATTAAACTGGGATCGAAATGTATCGTAATAGTTCTTGCGTACCCATACTTATAATCTCAACCTTACGATCATAACTTAATGTAACAATCTTCATGGCTTCCTCAAGAGCAAGGATGATCTCAGTCGTAGAGTTCTCATCCTATAAATGAGAGTCTCAAGGTTCTCGTGGTATCTATATTCATCCTCGAATTGACTATCAACGGAGTATATATTTATCAATAGATTTTTCGTTTGTGAGTTAGTAATTCTGACTTCAGTCATTTCAAAATTGATGAAAGATAGTCGAGTTTTTATATGTATGAAGCTGTTTGTTTCATGTTTATATTTGATTAAAAATATAGGAATACATAGGGCATCTTGCAATATAACTTTATGTGTTTTAATCGTAACTTTCGAAACCTTGTGGCAGTTCATTGTTTTGTTTTGCATATCGCTTGTAAAAGATTAATCACTTCTCTTTCAAATTCCATTTCAATATTTAAATTGTCCAGTTGGTTTGGATTATATTGACCCAATGGTAATTCAATATACATCCCATTGATATCGGTACCAACTGTTAATGTAACTATATCACCATTTTCATTGAAATGTACAGAACAAATAAATATCAATTTCCAACTTTGCCTTTTTTGTTGATAACATAATACATCAAAATTTTTTCGTTCAATCATATTTTGTCGATTATCTAACCAATAACATTTTCCGTCATACCATGAGTATGCTGAATGTTCGACAACAAATTTTGTTTTGGCAGATTCAAATGCATCAGAAACTTTACTAAATATTTTGATCGTACATAAGCTGGAAAGAACTCTAATTGGTTCAAACAATAACAGACTTTTTGTTGCGTTACTAAGTTGCTGGTCAAGTGAAATCATGTTCTGATCGAGAATGTGACGAATTGATTCTAAACGATATTCCAACTGTTCAATTGTCCATTGATATTCCGCATTTTCGAATCCTCTATCAAATGTTGTTATAATATAATTTTTTAATTGTTGTTTTAATCCGATTAACATTTCTTTTCCAATGTCTACAACAGAAAGAAATCCTGATAATTGAAGATAATTACAAGAGCAATATTCTACAGAGGGAAAGCCGTTTATACATGATGTATGTCAGTGAATGTGAAGCAAGAATTTCGAACGAAGAAACACTAATTATATCGCGCAAATCGTAATAAATATTTTTTCAGCAAAATAAACAATAGTTAAGTCGGATTATATTCGGAGAACCAATTATTCAAAACTAACTCTTTTAATGTTCAGTTTTGTAAATAAACGTCGAATTATTCATTAATTAGAAAAATATTCTAAGTTTTATAGGATTCAAAATTAAGTAGGAGTTTTCTAATATAATTATAGAGATTTTTAAGTAAGAAAATATTTCGTTTTTTTGTGAGTACTACTAACATGATACAAACAGTCGCAAAATAATCGAACTAAAGTTTCATTCATATTCGTTTCATTGAAATTATTCCTTTTTCGTATGGCAAGTAGAATTTAGGGTCGATGCACTTTTACATTAAATGTGTTAATCTATATTCTTTTTTTTTACTGTACGATAAATTCTATATAACTATATCAATCACTCAAATTGCCAATATAATCTTATTTCTAAAAAATTTAAAATAAAGCAATAAAATCAAGTTTATCGCTATGGTATGACATTGGTAGGTTCTAAGCTTAGAATCGATGAACTATTCAAAACGGTTATCGTTACAAACTGAACCACTTTAATCTCTATGGAATATCTCTAAAATGATCTATGTAGCTGTAAAACATAATCAATGCTATTCAACTCTTTAGTTAATTTGAACGAAGTTCGTGAACTTGAGCTTGTCAATCCATATTGAGAGCAGATGTATTATGCCTGTTATGAACTCTTATACTGAAAAAACATGAAGACAAATATCGCATTATTATTTCATAGATGCGCTCCTTGAATTCGAGCAGTTTATCACAACAAATTGAATAATAAGCAATAGATTCTATTTTAAAATCTAGAAATCTTCTTATAAGACAAACATACCTTTTCCGTTGACAGCTTTGTCAATTTTAATATCAATTCTATTTTGAGCCCCTTCACACTGATGAGGTGCTAAATTCATTTCATTACGATGTTCGGGTCCTGGTTCAATATCAGTTATCAGCCAAAACAATATCGCGCAAATGCTTGAAGCATCAATTGTTGGACTACGTCGAACATTTTGCAATGCATTCTGTTCTTTTTGTGTTTTGCCCTTCCATGATGGTGAATTCAACTGTGGAACTCGATAAAAAATATTGCCATAGGTGCAACTGAAATGTGTTTCTCGAAATTTTGCTTTTTCTTCAAATGACGACCAGTCGATGTCATCACGATTTTCAATATACGCTAATCCAAAGTCGACAACATGTATTTCAGCTGCTTCAGTATGACTACCATCATTGTGAATAACTAATAGATTCTTTGGTTTTATGTCACGATGTACAATACCTTTCCCATGAATCTCTTTAATAGTTAAAAGTAATTTTTGTGTCAATTTAATCGCATCCAACAAATCTATTCCACCAAGTGTATCTATGAATTTTTCAAGAGTACTTAGACTGATATAATCCATAATGGTCCAATAAATTTTATTCTGAGCTATAGCATCCTCTACATTGTCTGGTATGTTAGTATAATCATTTGTGTATGATGTCAATTGAGCAACATTTGGCACACCTAAGTATATGTATAATACAACTGTGCATATGAATTAACTTGAAGTTATAGAAGAGAGAATCTATAAGAGTAAAATACCTTTCAATGCTCTTAAAGCGGTCAATTCCCGATGAGCACGCATCCTTCGTTCTTTGGAATAAATATCTTGTTTATCTGGAGATTTTTTCATATTCTTGTCAGCTGAGTAAATTTTTATTGCTGCTTTATACATTGGTTGGTTTTTGTAGTATATAATGCGTACTTCGCCTTGTCCACCAGCATCTCCTGATTGTAAATTTTGAGAGTGCCACTCAGGCGGAACATCAATAGGTAAGTCTGGATTTGCTTGGCAGATTTAAATAAAATTAAAAGTGTATTTTCTATGATCTTGAAGGCATGGGTAAATTAGAGTATTCCCTCGTCTATCATACCCTCGCCTTCAAAATATCCAATAAATTTTGGAATCAGGAAGTACAGTGAACAAAACATAATCCATATTATTTACACTTCTGATTCGAATTTTAGAAATTTCTTTTTTCTAGAAATATTTAGCCCCCTTTCTCTTGATAATAGAAGCCCCCTCTAAGAGAAGCAGCAAGTCAGAAACAGCCTGATTTTTCAAAAATAATTGTAATATTTTTGTGCTGAAACTGCTAAATATCCGCGATTTTAAGGTAAAACTTTGACTGGCTCCTATCTGACTATGCTAACATTTGAAAACACCGCCAAAAACCTTTTGGAAAACTAATTAAAACCTTGAAGATCTCTAGAAAATTTTCAGATGGATTTCTTTTCCATGGTTTATAAAACTTTTTGGGACCTGGAAGAAGCTCCGGCCTTCGGAATATGCTAATGGTGGACATATTAATAGCCCTCAGGAGCTTCTAATATGGGGAGGAGTTTACTGATTCTTTTTACCTTGCGCTTTGATTGGATCGATAGCGGATTGAAATAATCGCGCGGAATTTACACATTCACGCTCGTCTACGTTCGTTATTTCACTTGTACTTTGGCTAACATTTTTTTCATCAGGACGTGGTATAGATTCTAAATTTTCCAGTGATTGTGTTGAAACGTTTCTATTCGGCGTTGAACCATTGTTTGGAAAGGCATCGACGGTTGTCTGAGTGCGAGGTGTTGCACGTTTGTCTGAAAATTTTAGTTAATAAAAAACAAATACGCATTTTGAAAAAGAGAAAGTATGGACTACGGGTTTCCTGTCACATTAAAAGTCAGCTCTATCTTTACAGTTTAACACACATCTTACATCCTTTTGTTTGAGGCTTCTCTTTTTCTTGAAAAAAAGAAACACGTAATTTTTGTCCATTTGTTAACTGGTGGTCGTTGAGATTTGTGATAGCCTCGAAAAAAATAATCTTCCAAATTTTCAAGATAATTATAAAGAGAAAAGAGTAACTACCTTCTCTGCCATGCACTGCATCTCAAAGTTTATGTAACCATATCCTTTAAAAGTACCGCGTGGATGTCGTGGAAACTAAAACCACAGCAAAGAAAAAGTAATAGCAACTGCATCAAGTTTTCTATCACTTACTATATGACTGGTAATCTTTCCATATTCAGCGAAGAGATTATACAAAGTTTGATCGTCCAAACTATCACCAAAATTTGAAACATAAAGATTCGTTCTTCGTTGAGACTTTGTGTTTTCATTTACACCATGTTTTACGTTACCGGTAAGCATAATTCTATTGCAATAGCTCAATGAATTTACAAAAATAAATCTGATTGATTACAACAGAACTATGTAACGATTTTTGTGGGTGTGTGTGTAAGTCAATTTGCAACGCTCTTACCCGAAGTTCTCATATGTAAATGAGATATAGATGCGGCTGCAATATGAGGATTATACTGTAACAACAGAGTCTATGGTCTTTTATGTTTCAAATTGAATTTTGAAAAAAAAGGACGCTCTTAAATAAACAGAGGCAGTACTATGAGGACTAGCAAAGAAACACCTTTTATCATGGACACAGAAAGACACACTACGTTTCATATGTGTGGGATATTATATTTGAAGCTAATAGAATCGTTCACAATCAGCTGTTGTCCTCATCACCCGTCGAAGTACCTTCAGAATGACTAAAGACTCTAGTTCTTAGCCCATTAGTCCTCTTCGTCATTTATTCCTTAGTCCTTAGTTCCCTGATTACCGTTCGAAATAAAGTCTCTTTTTTCCTCTAAATTCAGATTAAAATGTAATAGACAATTGTATGCAAAATAAAAGTATACGGTATATTACCGAACCCGTCGCAAATTTTCGTAGGTGTCTAAAAGCTTACAAATGTATCAACATGGCTGAAAAAATGGTTTTTTAAAATCTTTCAACCTAAAAAGGATTTCAGTGCGGGCACACGCTTCGAACTGTCACCTACAAAACCTTTTTTTAGTTTTCGTACACGAAAAAAGGTTTTGTCAGAAAATATGAAACATTAAGATTCAGCACTATGGTCTTACACAAAACCAATAGATGTGGTACGAATAAAGTTTCGAATCTTCTGACGAAACCTTTTTTCGCTGTATGGAACTTAAAAAAGACCATATAGGAGGTGGTTCGGAGCGGCACTCGCGTTCACATCCTTTTTAAATTTCGAAGATTTTGAAAACTATTCTTCCAAGCATGTTGACGTCTGTGTAAGCTTTTAGACACTTACGAAACCTTTGTGATGAGTTCAGTAATATACCTTTCTTTTTTATAATGTAAACTGTTTTAATACTTTTGAAGCTTGTCTTGTTTTTTTATTAGTTTAATGATAAAAAGACTCGATACGAATCAGCAAGCTCAAAATCTCTTTCTAATTTGAGTCAAAAAATTCGCTATGGAAATCTCCTTAAAGAATTTTGTTTTCATTTCTTTGGAAAGGTTTGGTACAACACTCTTTTTTTTCAGGAATATAGCAGTGGTTTCCAACGAAACCTTCTGTTTGCAAAACCAAAGAAAGGTTCGAAGAGTTTATCAACCTCAAGATATTTTTTGTTTTGTAAAATACATTATTTTTTAGTATATTACTCACAGTACTAGTTGATGCTATTGTTGCTTGTTAAAACTCTTATGTTGTATAAAATAATCGCAACTGTATGCCAAGCGTATTTTATATATATTCTCCTTTTTTTTAACAGCGTCTTAGTCTGATAAGAAAGTATTTTTAATCTAAGTACAATATTTGCTTTGCATGCTTTCTGGCGTAGCAACACTATAGTGTGTTCTCTTTCTCAAACCTTGATTCTCAAGGTTTGAGTCGTGTAGGTGAGTATCTGCCACATTGAATATTGCGCTGCAAAGCCACTTCATTGTTGTGAAAGTAGAGTCCGGGCGCGGGTGTGAGTGTGGGTATGGGTGTGAGTGTGGGTGTGGGTGTGAGTGTGAGTGTGAGTGTGGGTGTGGGTGTGAGTGTGAGTGTGAGTGTGGGTGTGAGTGTGGGTGTGGGTGTGGGTGTTGTTGTCATCTCATACCAGGTTCAGACTTACACCAACACTCTCAAGAACCGCCTAAAGATCTCATAATAGCAATAAAACAAGAAAGAACAAAGTAATTATCTCTCTTCGACGAAATGTCTATCAACAAAATACTTTTCGCCGAAAATGTTTCAATAAAGACATAGCTTTCGTTTTTCTTTTTATCACATCTTGGGGGTTGAATGTGGGTGAGGGTGAGAGTGGAGGTGTGAGTGAGAGTGTGGTTGTGAATAGGGGTGTATGTGAGGATATCCTCATCTTGAGGGTGTGGGTGTGGATGTTGGAGGATGTGAGTGGGTGGGTGTAGGTGAGAGTGTGGTCGAAGTTGGGTTGTGAGTTTTCTGTTCTCGCTCCCTGAACGGGGAACGCATGACGCTTTTGCTTGATTTATTCAATAAGTGTATGGCAACTGCGTTGTTGTGTTTAGAAAATCCTAGAAAATGCAATTTGTAATCCATTCCGTTCTCTGGGGACGGGGAATGGGAAACGCTCTCACCCATTCTATGGATAAATAGGGTGTGGATGTAGGTGAGGATTTGGTTGAGGTTATGGGTGAGTGGGTGTGAATGTTGGTAAATTAAAGATCAGTCTACAGCCATAGCCACATCTGCACCCTTCTACAAATCAAAATTATTATTAACCCTAGCATAGTATTCTCATTTTACTACATAATGAGAACTTAAAATTTTGTTTGTTTTAAGCTGGTCGTGGACGAATTGAGATTTGTATCATAATCTTCATGAGGCATAAATGCGATGGTATGAGTCCTGATAAATGAAAACGTTCCTGATTAAAGGTTTTAAGAGTAAAAAATGCTTTGTGGGTCTTGTCGGACCCATAAAAAACATTTGAGGGTTAACAGAAGTAACAAGCATTATCATTATTAGATCAAAAATAACTCTGCGCTGAAAAGAAAATGAACTTGAATATATTGTGTATGATCTTTAGCTATTATTGATTATTTTTTTCATTTTCGTGGAGAAATTTTCTTAACTGTTATCTTCCATGTAAGCTTATACTATAATCGCTTATTATATAAAGTGGTCTCTTGAGGGTGTGAACATTGAGATTAAGACAGAGGACACCCGCTCTCAGTGTCTGGATTTTAATCAGTTATCATATTACATAAGTCAATGACAGAACGACGCGCTTTTATTATGATAACAAATGAGCAAACAGATGACTTTTATTATAGTTTTTCCCCTAAGAAATTAAAACGAGTTAGAATTACACAGGCTCATGAAAGCTTTCAGTCAAACCATGAATAAAAGCCTTTTTCTGTTCGTAAAACTAATTTAGTAGTAGTCTATGAGTTATTTTCATTCAAAAAACTATCTTTCTAACATGTTCATATATTGTCTCTTTTTTTGCCACTTAAATGTCTAGATTCTAAGTAACAGAAAAATGAGTTAATAGCGGTAGTTCTATTATTTGACTATCTTAAATAATTTGATCTGATAGTTTCTATTTCACGGTCATAAATATATAAGTACAAAAAAAAATCGAAATTGTTAACGCATATTAATACATCTCTGATAAAGAGATAATTGTAACTATAAAAATTATTCGATCAATGCATGTATATTGCATATAATTAAATTTTATTTAGAATACAAGAGTATTTTTGTGTGGTACACATAAGATAATGACGTATGTTTTTGTGTTTTCTTTTTTTTTTGAATCTTATCTCACCTATCTAAAACTGCGAGTTAAAATTATATTATTTTTCACTTGTCATCTACTCGAGTTCTACCTGCAAATGTTGTTTGCACTGTTTATACTAAGTTCCCTATATGTTTCAATAGTGAATAGTTGGGGTCCAACTGGACATTCACTTGTTGCTAAAATTGCTCAAAGTATGTTAACTAGTAATTCAAAAAAATTTGTTCAAGATCATTTACCATGGTATACAAATGGTGATTTAAGTATGCTTGCTTCATGGCCAGATACAATTCTATATCCAGATACAAATCCAGTTGATTATCTTAATTGGCAATGGTCACTAAAATTACATTTTGTCAATACACCCGATTGGATTTGTAATTATGATCGTAATCGTGATTGTGATTGGACAAATGAACAACGTTGTGTTGATGGATCTATTCAAAATTATACAGAAAGATTAGCTAATACTAAACAAGATAGTATTCAACGTCAAGAAGCATTGAAATTTTTAGTACATTTTATTGGTGATATTCATCAACCACTTCATGCAGGTTTTTCTAGTGATAAAGGAGGAAATTTAATTAAAGGTCGTTTCTTTGATAATACAACTAATTTACATTCTATATGGGATACACTAATGATCGAACGTCGTATTTCACTCGATTTTCAAAGTGATTCAAACAAATATTATAATTATCTTCTTGATATAATGCATACAACATATATGAAAAATATTTCTCAATGGTCAAAATGTCCATCAAGTGATGAATCAAAATATTTAGCTTGTTCAACAGCATGGATTAATGAAGATGTAGCGTTAAATTGTGCATTTGTTTATCGTGATGAACAAGACAAACCATTTAGTGTATCACAACAATTTCAATTAGGCCAAATCTATTATAATACACGAATAGGTATTGTTGAAGAACGACTTCTTCAAAGTGGTGTTAGACTTGCAGCTGTCATCAATAAAATCGTTGAATTACGAAAACATAATGACAAATCATGTCCAGGAACAGTATTAATCGCTATAGTTCTATTTTTGGAAGTTTTATTGGTACTCATTTGTTTTATATGTTATCTAATTCGTCGTACATTTCGCCGACAATCATTCGGTGAAACATCTGATAATTACCATGTTGTAAAGAGCTAACTTTATTGACAAGAATAATATATTTTCGTTAAAAAATCTTCTTTTATGTTTTTTTTTCATTCTAGTACAATATAATTGTCTATATATAAACAAAAAGCTCAGCACATAAAAGAAACAATTAAAGTTGCACACAGAACAACGTGAATAAATATAAAGAAAATGAACTAATATGCTCGACAAAATGGTTTTTGTTTTTCTTCTTTTTAGAAAAGAAATAATATGAAATAGATGTGTGTTTATACAACAAGAAAACAACAACAACAATAAAATAATAGATATAAAAAAAAGAGAACATCCGACATGAAAATCTAAGTTTTTTTTGTTTTTTGATTATTTGTATTACCATTACTTAATTCAAGTATTGATGATGTTGATGAACGTATAGATGCACTTGAATTTGATCTTGGTGGTTCACTAAAAGAAAATTTCATGGGTGGTGTTATTTTTTGTGATATTATCGGTGGTGTTGATCGATCAAATTCATCATTTGTAGCAAATGCAAGAACAGGTGTTACTTGTTTTTGTTGATCAGTTGATGACATACGATTTGTTGATTTTGGTCTTGTAATTGATGATAAAGTTTTAGAAAATTTTATACTATTATTTGTTGCGATTGAACTAACACTTGCTGATAAAGATTTTTTTACTGGAATCGATGTTGATGCAGCAAACATTGTATGATTACCATTTAATTGTTCGAATCCATTACTTTGACTATGAAATATATCTCCAACAACAAGACTAGTAGCAAGTGAATCAACTGTATGTGCAACAATTGATTGACGTAATTGACCAGGTGTTGTTGGTCGATGAAGAACAGGATCAATCGGAGTTTTACTTTTAAAATCATGTGTTGATGATGCATATAAATTATTGTTATAAGATTTATGAACATTTGTTGTTGTTTGTGATGAATATTTAACTAGAATTAAATCATCTCCACTTAATTCTTGATTGACTGCTTGTAATTTATCAGCAAGATCTAAATCAGCTTCCATAACATCTTGATCTTCCTATAAAAACAAATAATTATATTTTATTTGAAGTAATATAGTTTACATCATCATTATCTTGTTCATCATCAGATGCTTGTTCAACAATTTGATCACCACCTTTACATAGAAGATTAAGTAAAAATTCTAATTGACCTTTTGTTTCAGAATTGCTTGTTTCAGTTCGAATAAGAGTTCGAAGACGATTATCAAGATTCTATGAACAAAACAAAGTAAAATATAGAAAAATAACAATCAATTTACTGACTAATTCAATAGCTTTATCACGAATTGATTTATGTGTTAAAATTGAATATAATGATGAATTCACATATGGTCGAGTCTGAATATAAATATGTAAAAAAAATAATTCTTTTTATATGAATAAAAATATACTTCATGATTAGGATGAGCTAATAGAGTTGAAAGAACAGTTATGGCTTGATCAGCAATTTCAGCACATTTCTTACGACCATCTGTTCGTAAACATATATTCATTAATAAAGCCACACCATATTCTGAAATATTTATTAAATAAGAAAAGATATATAAATAATAATTATATTCTACCTAAAGTATAATCAGATAGATTATCAGTTTTATTTAATAATGGTACAAGCCATTTGATCATATTTTGATTGATCATTACAGTTTGAACAGATCGTCTAAATATTTGGAATTATAATATAAATTTAAGTAGATTACAATAGTTTCTCACCTGAGACTAAGTTTTTGTAATGCTGCTAAAAGATGTTGCTTTGTTGATGTGTCGGATTTTTCTGCAATCGCTGCTTTTTGCATACAAATAATCAATGCTTCATTTGGTGCCAAATAATTTCGGCCTTTTCTTAATGATGCAATCGTATTAATTAAACGTGCCCATTCTTCTTTAACATAATTCGTTTCCGTATCGGCTGGTGTTGATAATTCTTTTATAATTTTTGTTTGTTGTTCAGTATCAGTTTGACAACCCAATAAATCACAATTAATATAACATTCAAGCATTTTTTCACGTTTAAAATCTGTTTTAGCTTTTGTTAATTTCCAACGTAATGCTTGAAGTAAAAGTGCTTTCTGTCGTGGACTCGTTGATATATGAACAACATCACGTTTTATTTTAGCATAATCAAATTTTTCTGTAAATGGATCATCGATTCTAAACGAACAAAAAGCTAAGATAAAGAAAAAAACAAAGAATCAGTTGTATTTACCCAAGACGAGCTGATTCCATTACATTCGACATTGATTCACGTAATCTTGCTAAACCAAGTCGTGAACAAACGTTATCAATATACTCATTTGTAATTGTTTTTCCAACAATAGCTTGTTGTAATGTTTCAACTAATTCCATTGTTATACCTATTCAAATAAATTTAATATCTTATTTTTCCTAAATTTATATTTACTTATTAAACTGCAATAATCTGTACTTAAATTTTTGATTTGCTTATTAGTTTCTTTATTTCGATGTTTCAAATCTTCATTTTCATTATTTAATTGAGTTAATACATGAGATGCACGTTCACCATTTTGTAATAGTTCCACGAGTCGTGGTAATGGTCGATTAGAAAAAATCCAATCGAAAAAATTCGATACTTTCTTACGTAATTGTGCTGGCCATTCATGCTAATAAATAAAATAAAAGATTCTTTTTTTCTTCATCAAAAAAAATATTTTCAATAGTACCGAAAATAATTCCTGAAACGACGCATGTTTATCAGGTGATGCAACAAATGGTAAAGCAAATAAAGGTAATAAATCACTTGTTTGTGATATCGCTTGTCCTTTAATTGATTCCATATACGTTTTAAATATTTGCATATTTTCTCTTGCTGCTTGTTCATTCTAAATAATTATTTATTAAATCTCTCAATATAAAAAGAGCATCATACTTTAATTGTAATATTTGGACGTAAATAATAAATTGCAAAATGAGCATAAATTAAAAATTCCAATGATCTTAATGATGGATCACTATTAATTATATTTGCAGGTATATGTTCAGACCAAAGACGAAAAAATTCCACTCGATTTCCATCATCTAAATATTTTAACATATCATTCTGAAAAGAAAAATTATTTTTTTTCAATTTCTCATCAATTTTGATTTTATAATACTTTAATAGTTTGATCTTTATCTTGTATTTGTTTGTCATTTGATATTTCATGTATGGGTTCTTGACGAATTTTTCTTTCTCTTAGGAATATTCCAACTGTATCATTAAAACCTTTATAATCAAGATATTCAATAACAAAATCATTGATACGAAAATCAATTGATTGAGACATTTATTGGATTTTATTTTTTTTAATAATAAGCTTTCGTTTATTAAACAAATCTATCTATTATGTTGCTTGACATTACCTCCATCAACCATTTTTTTACTAGCGACATCTATTTTAGTTAGTCGAAAGTAAATATATACTTATTAACATTTAATCAAGATAATTGATGACAATAGTCATTTTTAATAACAAAATATATATTTTCAATGACACTTTTCTTTATTTTATATTATATTTAGGATAATCAATATGAGACAAAGACCTTTGTTTCGATTTGGCATCGATTAAACATTCTTTAAATTTGAATGAATATACTCCGTCCATCTTGAACTATTTGCCTTAGGTAATATTTTATCTTAAAATATAAAGCAAAACAAAAATTTTATTTTGAATTTTAAGAAAATGACAGATATTCTTCGATCATTCACCTATTCTTAGCAGTAATAATATACAAATTTTGATGAGAAACATTCCAGAAATTATTTACCATTTGGCCATTCTATTTTTACATCAATCAAAATAAATATTAATTAACATTTATGACTGTTTTTTTATTTCCTAATTCAGAAATATTATTTCATTGTCAGTTCATTAATCATGGAATGTATTTTATCTTACAAATAATTGATCTATTCGATTAAAACTATACATTATTTCTTTTAATAAATTATTTATTATCAAATTATTATTTCTCATATGATCAAACTCATACACCAATGCCATCTCATTCGTTAATTCAACATCCACTAACGCTACTCGTCAATTAAACGTTCAGTCAAATCATTTTATACTAATATGATTATTTATCATAATTACTTAAATGATAAAAATACATTATGTACGTTAGAATAATTTCTATTGAATCAATTTAACGTGGTTAAAAATATGAAAGTAAGATTTAGTAAATGTTTATTTTTCTAAAATAATTGTTTTAATTATTTAGTTGAACAGAAATATACACGTATTTATGTCAAGGAGATCGGTTATAGTTTTTGAATATCAACCATAGCATATTATTTAGTAAATAATAGTTGTAATTGATTTTCTTCGTTCCAAATCAAAAATGATTCTAATGCACAATATTCAATTTTTGAATAGTTGTAACTCTTGATCATGAGAAATGAAAATGTAGTTGAGATTTATATTAAATACCCTTTTTTAATACTCATCAACGTTTTTTGTCTCATTTATAAATGTTTAATTTCTTAATTTTTATCTTTACATTTCTATTATCCAATATCTAGATAAAACGACAACAGTCTGAGTCATTTCTCGTATAAAAATACCCGTTTTTTTTTCTCCTAGAAAAATAACATATGAAAGAAATAACGAATAATTAACCATTAAATTATTTATTTTTTCTAGATTATAATAAAAATTACATTGCATTCTCAACGGTTATTATATATGCATATTAAAAATAAAGTTCTATTGGAATGATTTCAACAAAATATTGTTCAGATTAAATCTAATTCATTTATTTATTTTGTAGATATGTCCTCTCCAACTAGTTATGCAAAAGGTTATGTACGTTGGACAGCTGGTGGTAAACGTGTAATGTGGGATGGTTGTCGTTGGCAACAATTATGTCAAATAGAAAAATGTTTTCAACGTGATCAAAAATCTCAAGGTGTATGTCTTAGACATTATCGTGAACAACAAGAAAATAAAGCGAAACCTAAAAATAAAAAATTTAAAACTGAAGATAAAATCAAATCAAATAAAGAAACAAAATCTAGTCAAATTCAAAAGAAAACATCTATATCAACTCGTTCAAGACGTATTAAATCAAATCGTAAGTAAAATAATGTTTTTTTAAAAAAGAAATTCATTTCATTTTCTTATTATTCTAGATTCACTAAATGGATCAACAAAGGTAAATCAATTGATTTGCAAATGGTAAATGAAATGCTTGTTTTTCCTAGGTTTCTGATACTGATATACAAAACTCGGATGCAAATATCTCAGATTCTGAAATAATTCCTGCAAGAAAATCATCGGTAAAATTTAATTAGTATACACATTTGTTTATCTTTTTTTCTAGACCTCAAATACCAGTCCTTCTAAATCTCAAAAATCATCTCGTAAACTTGTACTTGTTTGTTCATCACTGAGTCGTCAACAATTGGTAAATTCTATTTTTGAATATTTTCAAATTTCATCAATATTTGTTTGTTTTTTTAGTCTCAAGTAGAATTATTTTGTACTCGTTTTTCTGCTCAATTATCCAATCAAGTTGATGAAACAACAACACATTTAATTGCAAGTGAAGTTGAACAACGTATATGTTGTTTAACAAAAAAAGTTTTTTTTGCTGTTGCTTATCATCAATATGTTATTGGTTATCAATGGATTGAAGAATGTCTCACTAAACAAACTCTATTAAATGAAGAATCTTATGAAATTCTTGGCGATGCATCATTATCATCACAACATAATGGTATGAATCGTTCACGTTTAATACATGAACCCATATTTAAATCCTATTCCTATGCTATTGCTGTTGAATGTTCAATTGGTTGTCAACAAGGAATGTTTACACGACAAGAACTTGAAAAACTTGTACAATTATCTGGTGCTATTCTTTTACAAGAACATAATCGAGAAGAATTAGATGATAATAATACAACAATAATTGTACTTTGTGATGATGATGATAAAATGGTTGTTACAAAATATAATGATTTAAAAAACAAAATTTATTATGTTATACCAGAATTTTTTCTTGATTCACTTGTGCTATATGAAGTACAACCGATAAAAGGTTATGAATTACTGTATCAGATAGACTAAGATGTAAATATATACATATATATATCTATATAAATGTGTATGTGCGTGTGTGTGTATGTGTATGTGAATATATATATGTCAGTTTTTGTGTTTATTAAAGCGTATATAGCTTTTTGTTTAGTGTTTGAAGATAATTAGAGAGAAGAGAAAATCATTGTATATGCATTAAATCATATGTATTTGTAGATAAAGAAAAAAGAAAATTTTGTTACCATCAAAATATTTTTATTTTTTTCGTCGAAAGACTCCGTAATAAATAATTGATTAAATATATATATACGAAAATCAATATGGTTTAATCAAAATAAAATATGTTTATCTCAATTTTAGATAATTAACAAAAACGAAGAAATACAAAGTTTAATTAAAATCAGAAATCTTATAATATTATTAGAGGCATTCCTTTCGTGATTTTCAGATTGGGTCAAATAAAATTTCTACTTAGAAATACGCAATAGAAGCTTCTATTCATGTCGAATTTATTTTTTACACATAGAAAATCTTATAAATAAAATTTGTGTTTCTTCATCTAATCGACTAACACCATCTCTTACTTCTTTGTTTTTAGATATACGTCAAATGATCCTTTTTCAATTGAATATTGTATTGATTGTAGATTTATAATATGGATGGATTCGTTGCTATGACAAATACGGATAGATTTGATAAATCATTACACGAACTAGTGAATTTTGCAGAGAGTGTTAAATTACGTGAAAAAGAACTTGAAGATCAACATAATTTAGAATTAGAAAGATTAAAAACTGAATATGATACACAACTTCAAATTGAACAAAAACGAGTTCAACAACTTCGAGAAACCAATCAGACATTAAAAGAGCAATGTGAACGTGGAATACAACAACACATTGATCATGACGCAAATAATGCAGTAATTATCAGTCTAGAAAATATGATTTCTAGCTTATTGTAATTTATTTAGAAATTGCTTAAGAAATATAATATTTCACTTGAAGAATGCAAAGTAATAAAGGAGCAACATAATAAAAAAAATGTTCGTATTGAAGAACTTGAAAGAATTGCAAGAATATTACAAAGTGACAAAGATAAACTTGTTATTGAATTAACACAAGTTAAAACCGATAATCAGAATTTACATGATAAAATCAAAGAGCTATCAGCTCCTCCTCCTCCGGCAACAACAACTTCACGTAAATATATAATTTGATAAAAAAATAATCGAAATTTCGTTTTTGTTTTTAGAAAATATACCTGATGAATTTATAAGATTAGTTGAAAAAGCAGTTGCAGAAAATAATGAATTTAAAAGATCTTTAGGTGAACGTGATAATGAAATTCAAAAACTTACTGAACAGTTAAACAAAGTACAAAGTGAAGATCCACAAATTGTTGAACAACGTCTTTTACAAACAATTGCTAAACTTAAAAATGATTTTCGTATAATGTATGAAAATCAATCAAGTTTTTTTCTTCAAAAAATTGATCTTCTCAAACAAGAACAACGTGATAATATAGCTAATCTTTATAAACATTAATTTTGTTAGTTTTTCTTTTTGGGCATGTATATAATTTATAGAGGTATTTATTGATATGATATTTCAGTAAATCATTTTTGTATTGAAAGAAAATAAATTTCATAGAATAGAAGATTGATTTGTACTATTTCACCAGGGACAGTTAAATAGTAGGAATGTTATTCATTTTTATGTATAATCTGAATTCAACAAAAATAAATCAAATTGAATGATTCAATATTTGTTTTACGAAGAATATTGGTCAAATATTTTCTCAAGATGTTGTCTCAATCAATATATTTTCATTTGAAAGTTTCTCAAAAATAAGAAAATTAGGTCAGAACTAAGAATAGCTGTTATATACGATGAATGACTAATTCAGTAAGACAAGGTAAAGGGTTGTTGTGAAAATAAGTAGGTATATAGATAATCACACATCGTAAAAAACTAAGATCGTTCAAGTTAATGATAATGAGCAAATATTTACTGCTCTACCAAATGTCATGCAAAAAGGGGTGAATGCTTAGACATGGACTAAATAAAATAGAGACAAAACTGTTCACACTTTAATCGTTTGTCTTTTTTCGCATTCTATTAGCTATGAAAAACATATTTGACTGAATTTTACTTTTGACTACACCATATATATATATAACACCTGCATGTGCTGCCCCTCCTTGTGTACGATTAGTCAATGCATATAACCATTCTGAGATATTTGCAACCGTCTGGGTTTTTTTCCTTTCATGTCATTGAAAAAAAAAGCAAAATTTAATCTCTTAATATTTCATTTTTTTAAATATAAATACATAGATTCAAAATTGAATTTTTCCTCGATAGAATTATGTCATCGATATCATCTCAGCGTCTACGTTACAGTCCAAAATATACAGAGATATGTGTTGGAAATATCAGTAATCATACTGAACCTTATGCTTTATTGTAAGTTGATTTATTAATAATTGAATGAAATTAATTTTTGTATAAAGAAAACATTTTGAACAATTTGGTACAATTATGCATTACAATTTTACATCACCAACAGGTGGTTATGTTTTTATAACATATGAAGATTCATCGATGGTGGATAAATGTATGAGTTCTAGACCACATCATCTTGATGATCGACATTTGTAAAACATAAATTTTTTATTGTTTTTCGATATTTTAATTTAATTTCTATAGATATGTTAAACGTGCTTTACCTGTTGATGATGAACATCCACGTGAACGTTTTGATACTACACGTGATCTTATGATTGTTATTGATTTTAAAAACGATAATTATAATAATGAACAATTTTTAACTAAACTTCGTGAATATTTTTCTACATATGAACGTGTATATGCTTGCAAATTTTGTCATGAAACAAATTTTGATTATATACTTGTAGAATTTGGAGATAAAGGTAAAATAAGAAAGAAAGAAATATTTTGTATTAATTCGAATAATTCATTTAGATGCTGTTGATCGAATTATTCTTGATAAACCACATTTTTATAATGATCAACGACTTGATGTAATGAAATTTTTGCCATCAAATATTGAAATAATGAATAGTAAATATGCATCAAAGAAACCGTCCAAATCTGTTATTAAAGATGCCATTGATGATGATGATCATGATTTTTCAGCATCACGAAAGAGTTCTGGTAAACAGAATCCGACTGCAAAAGAACCTATTAGTGAAACTGATCTTCAAAATGAAGTATATCGTCTTCAAAATGCTTTGAAAAAAATGAATGAAGAATACGCTGCTAAACGAAGACAACTTGAAGAAGACTGTTGTGAACGATTGAAACAATTGAATGAAAATGCTGATAAAACTCAAAGTTTACAACAAGATTTAGAACAAGGTATTTTGTCGTTAGAAAATAGTAATTTGAAAAAATCAAAAAAACTTTCATTGCGTGGCATTCCACAAAATCATGCAATGAGTGGTCTGAAATAAAATATTCTTTTGCAAGTAGTCATTCAAATCTGTTGAATCCCATTGAAAGAAAAATGATGTATACTTGACTAATTTAAAAATAGCATGTAGATTGTGCTGATCATCGATACAAATAAGCGAAGAAAATGAATGTCATATTCTCAAAATGACGATTAGTTTGATAGGGAAACATTTATCACTAATAATATTATACGTAAGAGTCAGGCCATAAGATTTTTAATGCAATAAACTCTAGTACTCATAGACAGAGCTAAAACCAGATTAATTAATTTCGATTAATTTCTTTATTTTATAGAACATGCTAAATTATTAATTGAATACGAATCAATGAAACATGAAAATGACACACTTAATGAACAATATTTAACAGCTGAATTAGAAAATTTTGAAATTACATCCTATTATGAACAGATTTTAGCTGAAGAAAAAGCTAAAACAGCACAACTTCAAGCTGAATATGAACAGAAATCAGCAACATTAAATACAAATAATTCTTCTCGATCAACACCATCTCCTCAACTTAATAATACTTCATCTTCGGCAACACAATCTCCGTCACAATCGACTGTACCTAACGATAATTGAACTAAAAATGTTATTATTTTACATTTGTTTAACAGATATAAAATGAAATTTGTTTTACTTTCTCTTCAATCGATAATACAAAATAAAATCGACATATTGTTATTATACATATATATATATGTGTGTGTCTGTATATATTTATATGAAATTTTAAATGATTTGTTTTAGATTGAAAAGAAAGTCAACGATGACAAATGATTGTGATCGAACAGTATTAATTAAAAACATTCCATATGAAATAGACGAAAATACTTTGTCAGATTGGTGCTCGACATTTGGTCCAGTAGCGAATTGTTCGTTAAAACGAGATAAATATGGAAATTCACGTGGCTTTGCTTTTGTTACATATGTCTCTATCGATGGTCATAATAATATATGTAAGAATAGTTTTTATATAGCCTTAAAATAGAGTTTATCAAGATTATTTTTAAGTTAAATTCTGTGTATCTCTGTTAGAACAAAACAGATTGATTTTAGAGCTTGAAATCAATTGTTTTACACAAATCTCTTTTTTCTATCATTCAACGAAAGTTAATAGAATAACTAATCGTAGATTAACGCGTATTAGATTCGATCATATAAGGAAATTTTTTTATGTAAATTGAGATAATATGAGTTATATTGTTGTCAAAATAAAGAAAATTTATGTAGATTGTCTAGATTTTCATAGCATGACATAGAATACAAAAGGAAAAAGTTGTTAAAACAAAACGGTAAATACTAAAGAACTTGTTTGTAGCCCTAGATATGATTGTAAAGTATGTAATATATAATTTGAATTATGTACTTTAGAAAGTTTGTCCTTATTTCACAAATAAGTAATTCATATTATTTTTTGAAAATATAATAAATCCTCGTATGATTATCGAATTAGAAGAATAATAAAATATTTTCTTTTCTCATTCATTATTTGTGATTGAATAAAAAGTCGCATCATTCGAAAGCCAAAAGCACAATGAAATATTTTTTTTCTCCATCTATTATCTATAATTTGATAAATAACCAAATCACTGTAAAACTATGTAAATAATAAAAAAATATTTACAATCACAATATTGTAAGTAATCAATAGACACTTCTATCTCACCTTTTCTGAGTGCTAATCCGAGCAAAGAGTAACAACTCCGTAATATGACTATAATAAAGTACCTAAAAAGAAGATCAATAGGAAAAATCTTTCTTTATTCTTCATCAAAAATAAATATTATTGATTTTTTTCCAATTAATTTAGGTTAAATATAGAACTAGACAATAATTCCTGTGTGTAGTTTGTAGAAATAATTATATATATGAGAATTTTATCAGCTGAGAAATGTCTTTAAGGTTCACGTCAAAAGTAATGCTTTGTATTGACACTCCATTCTCAAGTTTTAAATATAAATATGCATTATAAAATTGAAGAAGAATAAATAAACAAAAGTATCTTTTTACATTTCATTTTCTTTTTCTATAAAATAATGCATTATCGAGTGACATAGAATTTGAAGTGAATAAAGAATATTCTTATATCAGAAAGGACATAAAAGCTTTATAAACACTAGAGTTTAAGTATATTGAACTACATGCATTTATAAATATTAATTCTTGATTTCATACTTTTTAGTGACTAAAACACCGCATCGTTGTCTGGATCGTTATTTGTTTGTTAAAACAGCAAATGATAGACATCATTCTTCCGATCAAATAACATCATCATCATTAGTAACAGATGATAATATTAATTCGACAACAACAACAACAGATACTAGTTCAACATTTGATACTGAAAATTATAATCGTTTAGCAGTATTACGTGATGAACTTGATGCTAATCTTGAATGTATGCAAATAGCTCATGAACATGAAGTAAAACTTTTAAATGACAAACTTTTACGTGAAAAAAAACTTCTACAAGAATCTGAACAATTATATAAAGAAGCTGAAGAAGATTATTTAAAAATTAAAGATGAAAATATTCGTATTCGAACATGTTTAATTAAAAATGTTATGCAAACATTTAATATACGAAGAGATTTAGCTCGTCAAACAAAAGATCAATTAAAAAAATGTGCACAAATTCAAATGCAATATGATCAAATCAAATAAGTTCAAAAAAACCGAATTTAATCGAATTGAAAATACAACTAATCAAAATCAAGACATATATAAATTAAACGAACGGACTTTTTGTTTTTACATTTGTCATTTCGAGAATTTATATTGTTTTTTCTGTAGTGACGAAATGTACTTATATCTTGTTTATTAGTTCGCCTCTTTTCTAAACGCTCTAATAAATAAAGAACAGCTGCCGGTGGTAATTGGTGAAGTATTCTATTATCAATACAGCATGTTTAATACATAATTAATGTACATGATCTATTTATGTATGATAACATTTTATCCGATAATGTCAGATTTATCTAATGGTTCAAAAGTCTACATAAATAACTAATATTGACATATATTTTTTTTATATGAAAAGTCCGTATTAATTTTTAAATATCCTGTCAAATAGGAACGAAGAATTGAAGTAAACAAAATATAATGAGAAAATATTCGGAAAACAAAAGCTAAGATAAAAATTAATTCTGTAATTTTTCATACACAAAAAAAAGAATGTTCTTCATGTAAGTTTTGCTCATATTAAGTGTGCTCATGGAGAGATTAGATAGATTTTCATCACGACATCTCATTAATATTCCCGACGAGTACAAACAGAAGAGATTGTTATCTCTTGAGATTCAATAAAATGATTATATATCTTTCCATACGAAATTTCTTCTCGATAATAAATATAAACAGCTGCATATTGTTATTAAAAAAGATTTACACTTGACTTCTTCCTAGAACTTTTTTCCTATGATCGATCAATAAACTACTAATCGAATAATTTAGCGATGTGTTATTAAGATTATTTCTATTATAAAACATATATATATAAATATAGTTTTTTTTAGAAGAGAATTGAGAAATATCCTTCCTACTAGGCTTCTTTGTTCTTAATAGAAGAACAAATTGCACCATGAAAAATATTTAATTTAAAAAAGTGCTATGTATTGCAATTGATGTTCTACCGTAAATTTCACGTGCAAGTATTTTATGTTACACATCTTTCCTTTATCAAATAATTGTAAAGACAAGTAAAATTTGTTACATAAAAAAAATTTTTTTGTTCTTGAATAAGTTGAACCTCATTATAGTCAAAATTAATATTAGAAGAATCAAACATTTTTGGAAAAAAATGCTTTAATTTTTCTTAATTGACTCAATTTTAAGAGTTCCGTATTTAGATGCATTCATTTTTTTTTACAACTAGTATTTATAATAAATCAGCTATAAAATAGATTTTTGTTATGCTTGCATGTGTAGGAAAAATAGCTTTCTATTCATCTATTAGTAGTTTATATTATATTTTTTGTCGAAAAGACCACTTGTCCTTTTCTAAACAATTTCCCGGACATACAATTCTAGTGATTTATATCCGGGAGACTAAACCTTTTCATAACTTATTCAATGGATTCTGAGATAAGATTATTCTATTTACATTAATATGTAACTTTGGTCACTGAGGAAATGCCATTTGTCATACATTGTAATATCGAACGATGACAATGAAGAGAAAAAAACATAAACTAACAGTGTAATATAAGTTTTTTTTGCTTGAGGATAATATACATAGAAATCACAATGAAACAATTGATTTTTCATACTACTACTTCCGGCAATGAAACCACGCTGTAAAAAACAACACAAATAAAAGAATAATATTTCGTTTATTTTTTATTGGATCATCTTTCCAAATAAACCTTGAAAAGAAGATATGTCAATATCTTTTCTTTTTGTTTGTCTTCCTAGCTTCGTAATTGCACTTCTGGTTCTTTCTTTTTCTACAGAAACTATCCACTGTAAAACATTTGAGAAAGAATATGATTATTTTTTGATTCTGAACTCATATAAAAGTAGAAAAGCTTAGTTTATTCTTTTGTAGATTTAATATAAAAAGCTGAACTAAATAAGTTTTTTACAATTAATCTAGGTAAACAAAAAAACCTAAAATAGGAATGAAACAGTTATTAAACTGTATATAATCTCCTAGACACTTTATAAAACCAACGTGATCTGTCATAACAATGACACTCTCGTTTTTAATTTTCTATTTTATGCAATAACTATCAACATCTTTTTTTTTGCATATGCGCAAGCATGCGTTCTGGACGACTCGAAAGTATTGGAAGATGAGACGACAGAAACAAAGAGAAAGAGAGTGTGTGTGTATGTGAAAATGAGAGACATAGAAAGACAAGTAGTAAGGAAGAATGGAATAAAAACTAGGCGACGATCAACAAGAATGCCCATACGTCTAATCGATCACCTAATTATTCTTACAATCACTTTGTTTTCATTCGACTTGTATTTATTTTCTTGATTTCTTCTTCTTCTTCTCTATTTCTCGCAATAAAATCAGTCACAATTTTTTTTTTATTAAATATATTGACTTTGGATTCAACTAAATTTATTCTCATAAATAGACAATTATTCATAACGGTAAGGAAAAAAAAACTTTATTTTCTTTTCCTTTTTTTTTCCCTTAGTTTATTTTTATAGTATTTTAAAGAAAATCTCTACTATGATTCTGTAAGCAAACACACACACACATAGAAGAAAAGAGTGGTGGAGTAGCTGCGACAGACAGTAAAGATAAAGTATTTGATCCGGTGAAAAAAAACTTCATCAATATTTGACGATTATCAATTATATAGTCTTAAACAAAACATAGCTTACATAATTAAAAAAAGAAAATCTACAATTCTTGACAGAAGTCTTCTATTCTTGTTTTTCGTCGCATCGAAGTTATTTGAGATGCTTGCATCAATTATTTCATATATATTAGTATTCGAGCTAATCATCAACAGTTTAATTACAGTTGGTACAAGGTCAGTATCTATCTATTTTTATTCATAGAAAATTTAATCAAGCTTCTATATTTTAATTTGATACAACAATATACTCATTGACGAAAATATGTTTCCACTCATTTAACTTGTTTTTAATTAATTTTTCTGAATTGAAAACTGGGATAGAATTTTTTTGTTTTGTTTACAAAATAGATAGTTTGTTTATTAATTGAAAAAAACTCCTCCTAGAGACATTACATGTTTGAGTACTAGGAATGATTTGATGTGCGTGATAAAGCATTAATAATATGATTAACTTGTGTATAGTAAATCATTTCTTTTAACAAGATGTGATACGACGACATAGACAATTGTCGACAGACGTAACTAAAATATTTTTGAGATTTATGATTTATTCCTAAAAATAAATTTGTCTTGTTTTTTATCTAATCGAGAAGAAAAACACATTTATCTTAGAAAAACGAAGAAAATAGATTTTACGTGACTACTTTATGTCTACATCTCAAGGATCCGCTTTATTCTCTTGATCTCGACTTATATAAAACATAGAATCATTTATAGTAAAGAAGAAGAAGAAGAAGAAGAAAAAAAAGTATGTTTTGGATTAATTTTTTTCTTTTAATATTTCATGATAAAGTCGCTTTATCTACGTTCAATGAGCAGTGAAACAATCGAAAAAAAAAGAAATGACAACTCATCATTATTGTTTAGTGATAAATGAGTATATATATATATATATAACAAAACCATGTTTTTTTTTCTACTAGTATGCAATTGTAATAAAATGAAGAATATGATTAAGCTATTCATATAATTTAGTAATGCACTCAATGCATCGTTTTAATTAGTAAAAAACAAAGAAGTGACTAGAAGGCTTGTAAATTCACAAGCCACTTCTTATATCTATCGTATTAATTTATTTCTCTTTTGCTTTAGTCTATCGGAAATCGTCAACTATCGACAAAATATATATATATATATATATGAGTATATGTGCGTGATGTTACAGAAAACCTTTTGTCTTTTCCATGTGAGTGTCAAGAAAGTATACACGTCTTAATCATGTTAGAAAAAAAAGTTAACACAACTACTTTAGGGAACAGAAAGCAATTTATCAATGGTTGATCCTAATGGAATATATCGAGTCAGAAATTGTATGCGTGCATATTTTTAACAAATGTTATTCTATTCTAAGTTTCAATTACTAATTACATTACAAACTCCTATGGATACTCTATAGATAACTTTAAGAGAATTATCAGTATAATAGCAGATTTATTATTATTATTTATACTTACATATGAGCAATGCTATTTCTTTCTTTTTTTCTGCACATGTGTACAAATATATTCTATTTACAAACAGATGTGTTTTATATCTATTATTATATTAAGTATATGATGAGTTAATATAGATAAAGTTTTTCTCTTTTTTTTTTGTTTGTTGTCTACTAGAAATATTTTTTCCTAGTTGAAATATTACAGACAAAACTCAATCAATAACAATAGCTATTATTCAGTTCTCTATCGTTTCCTTGATACAAACGTGGCATCTTTTGCCATAGGCAGAAAATAGAAATAGAGATCAACTAATTTGTTAATGTACACATAAGCATGCTATTATATATCTTGATATATCATGAGAAATTATATTAACATCCTTTCACAATTAGCATAAGCTTTGTACAAAAAAAAAACTAAACTAAAATAGAACTATACATGTGAGTGAACCACTTGATTAACTAATCATAATAGAAAAATTGTCAATTGTTATAAAACATAGAATAGAAACAATATTTATCGATAATTAGTAGTAGAAAAAATCATGTTTTCGTTTGCCTATAGCTAAAACGAGATTATTATTATTATTATTTTGATCAGAGAGTTCTACAGGCTTATTTTCTTTCATAGATAAACAAAAATCAAGGAGATCGAAGACACATATCGATCGCCCGTTATTATATATAAACACAGATCTTTTTCTTTTTTCATGATTTAAAGATAATAATGCATAATTTATATTAAATATATATTTTCTTTCTATTATATTTTAGACCATCGTCTTTCAAGTCTTCCTTTTATTAATATCTACAACATATATTTGAATTAAAAAAATGTCTAATAGACAATCGGTTGTTAAAGTACATTGTTTACCATTTCGAGAATATTTTTCTGCTGATAATATTAAATCTACTCTTCGTGGTTTTGTTTATGAATATGAAACACCAAAAATTGTGACAATTCATTCAGTATCAAGTAAAATATTCTATTTAATAATAATCATAATAATATGCTTTTACATTATCTTCTCTTTCTTAGTCGCTCTTATGTGTCGATTGATTCAATTACTTATTTTAATCTATGGTATTGCATATTTAATGATACATAAAAAAGGTTATCAAGAAACAGATACATCAATTATTTCATCAATTACATTAAAAGTTAAAGTAAATAGACAAAAAATCAATTCTCATGAGTTATGAAAAGAAAAATTTTTTTTTTCATAGGGTATTGGTTATAATCAAACAGGTGATAATCATACATTAGTTATTGATGGTGCAGGTAAAAAGAGAATAAATAAATAAATATATATATATATATATATATTCAATTAATTTGAAATTAGATTATATTGTACCACCACAAGAAAATAATGCTTTATTTTTAATGACAAATTTTATTCGAACTGATCAAGAACATAAACGATGTGAAGGTAAAAATTAAAATTGAAATACAATCGAAATCAAATATTTAATTTTTTTAGAATCTCCTTTTGATTCAAAAACAGCTTGTCCAGATAACGCTCATTGTGAGAAGCATAAAAATTATCAAAAAGTAAATATTAAAAAACTTTCGTTTTATAAAAATTATTTTTTTGATTTTATTTAGGCTAATGGAAAATGGACTGGTAAATACAACAAAAAAAAATCACAATTAGTTTTTCTTTTTTTCTAAATAGGTCGTTGTTTATTTCAAAATAATTCTTCAGCAAATAAGTCAAGATCAAAATCTGGTCGATGTGAACTTGAAGGTTGGTGTCCGGTTGAAAATGATGGTTATATTCCTGAGCCAATTCGTGATGCATTAAATTTTACAATATTTGTGAAAAATTTTATTGAATTTCCACGTTTTAAAGTTATTAGAAAAAATATTCAATTTGATGCTAATTATTTAAAAAGTTGTAATTATGATAATGTAACTCATAAAACATGTCCTATATTTCGTGTTGGAACATTACTTGATATTGTTGAAAGTAATCGAACTGAACAACATTATATGTTAAGATCCGGTGGTGTGATACGTGTTAAAATTGATTGGAATTGTAATTTAGATAAACATTTAGATCTTTGTTTACCAGAATATACATTCGGGCGTTTGGATGCATCATATAAAGAACAATCATTTTCACATGGATTTAATTTTAGGTAATAGAAAAATTTTTTAATAATAAATTTGTTTTTATTTACTTATTTAGATTTGCATCACATTGGAAATATCAAAATCGATCGTATCGTACATTAACCAAAGCATTTGGTCTTCGTTTTATTATTTCTGTAAATAGTTTAGTTTAAATAATATGCATTGTTTCACTAATTCCTTGCTAACATCTACACGCACGGACGCACATAACTATTTGTGTGCTTTTTTTATCTCATCCGACATTGCCTTACACGGTTTAATGAGTAGCATGACTAATTCATTCTAAAAATCATTATGAATTATTTTTACAGTTGAATAATTTTTTCTTATTTTAGGTTAGTGGTCATGCTGGTAAATTTGATCTAATAACATTAACATTAAATATTGGTTCATTAATTGGTATTCTTGGTTTAGCAACATTTATATGTGACATTGTTGCATTATATGTACATCGTCAATCCGATGTTTATCGTCAACAAAAATTTCAAGATGTTGATTTAAATTTATTACAATTAGAAACATTAAATACTCTTCCATTAAATATGATGAGTGATGAAGCAAAAGAAAATCATGCTAATCATGTTGAACAAGCTATATTAACTGGTCATATTATTAATCGTAATAATGATTTCTCATTAAATATTGAAAGTCCTCATAAAGAAAAATTTCGACGAGATAGTCTTACACATCAAGATGCATATGATGATGCATCATCATTATCAAAAAGTACAAATCAACAATCAACACCAATGTTAATCTATGGAAATTATCATCAACAAAAATTAGGTTTAACAAATTCATTAACTAGTAGTCCATTATCATTATCATCTATTAAACAACGACGGTCTGTCGCAACACGACCATCGCAATTAAAACTTTTTCAAAATGATAAAAATCAATTATATGATAAAACAAATATTGTTTATGTTGATGATGATACACCAGATCTTAGTGAAAGAACTGAATCAAATCAATTAAATGATGAAAAAATTTATTTCAATCCTAATCCATCACCTAATCGTGCGCAGACTACTCGAATAACACCAAAAATTGAAACATTTTTATGAGAATAGAATTTATACGTATGTATATTTATGCGTAGAATAACGAATCGAATATTGTATCTAATATTTTTTTTTCTTCTTCGTTGACTAAGAGCTTTTTTTTCCAATTGAATATAATTTTAAGAAAATAAGAACAGTAATTTATCAAACAAAAAAAACATACCCAAAAAGTTCTAATTTCTTTTTTTTCTGTGTAATAAATAATAAATATTCTTTTACGACTAATGATAAGATAGAGTAAAATATGTTTTTTCATGAATTCAAGTTCTATAATATATTCAAAAGCAAATCAATAGTTGCCATGTAAGGTAAGAAAGTGTGTACTGGGTCATTATAATTGTTTAACTGTCCTCAAATGAGAATATGATGTAGGAAAGAATCTAGGGAACAAATGATAGGCTTTCAATTAAAGAAAAAATGTTTTTTCAAACTATAATATTTATATAGACTTCTTCCTATTTCAAAAATATAATTATCATAAAAAATGAACGTATAATGTGTACAATAAATAATTCTAAATATCAATTAATTTTTTGAGGTACATTTGTTCCACTTCATATATTAACGATTGATTTATTTTTATATTCCGTCGTTTACCGAAAAAGATAATCGCACAAGAATAATTATTCATATGGGAATGTTTATTTTATAACAGGAAGTACTCGTTTCTACTTTCTGTTTTTGATCAAGATCATAAAAAAAGACAGTTTTATGTGGATATAATGAAGCACGTAGAACTTCAATATATCACATTAAACAGCGTCTCATCAAGGATATATATATGCATGGGTTGTAAGATTATTATAGATGGTCGTGGATGATAAACTATTATTAATTAACTTTTCAATGCCTATTTATCGTCATATCAATGTTCTGCAAATTAAAAATTTCTTTCTTTTAATCAATACAATTCAGTAAAAAAACAATTTCAAATTATATAAAATCACAAATGTAAAAATAAAATATAAACTATTTCTTTTTATCTGCTGTTGTCGGATAGGAAATACCGAGTCGTGTACTTAACATTTGTACAGTTTTTTCATATTCTCGATTAAGATCATTGGCTTGTTGTAATGCATATTTTAAATCTTCTATTTCTTCAAAAAAATTTTCATCGAGTACACTTAATTCTTTTTCCATACGTTTATATCGCTCTGAAAATTTTTCCATCCGTTTTTCTGCTGAAATTGCTCGTTGTTCTGCTTGTTCCTTCCCTTTTTTACATTGAATTAAACGACGTTCATATTCGTTTGTACGTCCTGCAGATATAGAATTTAATTCTCGTCGCTCATTCGATGTTTCATTTTCATATTTTTGTAATAATTCATTTTGAGCTTTTAAAAGACGATGTAAACGAATTGATTCATCGGAAGAATGTTTTACTGTGGATAGATTTGGACGAGGTTGTGCAACAAGATCTGTTTGAATTGATATTGAGCATGAACGAACATGATCATGATTGTTTTCTGAAATTTTCCGTTCAAGATCCTTTATATGCTGTTTGAGATTAATTATTTTCGTTTTTAATCGTTCGTTTTCATGATTTAGAAAAGCACACATATGTATTGGTGGCATATCCATATTGAATGATATTCATATCTGAAGAAACAACAAAAAAACATCATTATTACAATTTAAAACTAAATTTTTACATTTAGAAAAAAAAACACTGCCTACAATTATTATTCTAACATATATATTTATCTGAACTTGAATTAGTAAAAAAACAACTGAGTATCAGTGTAAAATAAAAATTTAGTTTCAAAGAAATTTCAAAAGGCATCTATTGTTTCGAATGATAGAAAAAAACGGATTTATTGTCTTTAAACAAAAAATAAATAAAACAAAAGAGAGAATTAGAAAAATCTAATTTACGGATGTGATTAATCTTGGTGAAATTTGTTTTATTGTTATTTCTAATAGATCTATCGGAAGTATATGATCGTTGTATTAGTGATTAAGAGTATGATGGATTGATAAATTGAGGTGATGCTTTTTCATGAATTGTCGCTTGAGGAGAAAATATATTATGATGTGTATAAGCAGCACCAGCAGTTTTCGAAGAAGCTAAAATAAAGATTAGAATGAAGAAGACAAATATAGAATTCAAAAATTTACTATGAAGTCGTTCGGCATTCATTTGTTGACAATCAAAATTGAATGCTGATAGATTGTTTAATGGACGAATATGAACAATATCAATATCATCTTGTTGTATTGGTGGAGAGATAACTGTTGGTATTATTGAATGATGATAATTAAATGGAAGTTTTTCATTTTGATCTTTATCTTCTTCATCAGACCAAACAATTGAATGATGTTGATATTCTTGTTCGAATGAATTACTATTATTAAGAAATAACTTTCAACTTTTCCTCGGTTTTTATCAATTAGCTTAATTAGTATTTAATGCCAGTTTATCTTTTTCTTGTTCTATATTTTGAAGATGCAGTAAGCAGATTAATCAAACTAAAACTCATACGATAATATCATGGCTGTTATGAGATCTAAGCGAATGCACATTAAAAATAGTTATTTCTGAAATTTATATGTATTATTTATCAGAGATTTTATACATAAGACGGAGAATGAAAATGAATATTTATTCTACTAAGTGCAAACTTTTAATGAGAATTTCAATTTTGAAACTTACTTGATATATTGAGGAATAATATCATTGTCTGGTAAATGATCTATTATCTGAAATTCATTTGATGTACTAAAATTTGGTAGGACTGGTGGTGGTGGAGTTTCAGTTATTTTCCTTTCTATATTAGCAGATAAAGAAGGTTGAGGTGATGTTGAAGATTGTACAAAAAGATCTTTTGATGTTTCAAGTAGATAGTTTGCTTGTGTCATAAGTTCTTGTGCTAAGCGAACTTGATCATTATGTAATGAAAGTGCATCTGTTATAGTAATATCATCATTTATTAATGGTTTATCATTTAAATGTTCGAATAGATCTCTTTGATTTGTTGTTTGTGTATTAGAACGAATAGAATTTATAGTTAATGGTAAATTATATGGAATTATTGTTGATGATGATGATGTGTTAGTATCAGTTCGACTTGTTGTTAATGTTGATGATATTTCAGAAGTTGTATGATAACGAGATTTCAATCGTTCTGTCATAACATCAAGTTCACCAAGTTGACGTCTAGAAAAATAAATATTTATTTTATTGAATTAGAAAAGAAAATTTCTTTTTATTAACCGAAGGTTATCTCTTAAATATGATTGTTTATTACTTTGATCATCAATTATTGACGAATTTAAACTTATCTGACTTCCAGTATTCTAAATAATTAAAAAATATATAGAGAGAAAAGAAAATATTTAGTAAAACTTACAGATCTTGCTGAAAGATCATTAAAAATTAAAGATGGTACATTTAATGAACGTGAACGATCTGAATCAAGTTTTGGTTGATATTGTTTTGAATTATACCTCAAACGTTTGTATTCTAAAAGATCTTCTTGTGGTATAAGACTTATTTTTAATTGTCCTTGTACATTTCCTATCGCATCAGTAATATTATACCAACCAGATATTTGTTGTAAACCAGATAATAATGGACTTAAATCAATCGAAACAAAACCAAGAAGTTTATCACCGGATTTTTCTATCCAAACAAAACAAAAAAAATGTTTGTTTTTCTTTTCAAAGTTATTATTTACCAGGAATTGATTCAATATCAGCATCAATTTTATGCCATACTTTGAGAATAAATACTTTTTTTTCATTAAATAAATGTTCGAGAGATAATTTAACCGCTTGTTGATAATTCCATTGTGGTTTAACTGTTGATATTAAAACTGGTGTACGATATAAATGATCGGAATCAATTGTTGAATACGTAACATATGGATTTGGTGGAATATGAATAGTTCTAAATAAACATTAAGTATAAATTTCAATAGAGAAAAGAAAAAGGTATACTTTTGTTCAGAATAAATATTAGGTAAATGTGCTGCTTGTTCAATATTGATTTGAACAGAGAAAATATTATTCGTAATTGTACGTAATGCGCGATCGTTATTAATCAAATTTAAATAACGATCTTCTAAGTAAGAATTAAGTTCCGCATCGTTGGATGAATCTACATTATTTGGATTCTAAAATAACAAAACAATGAGTCGAATTTATTCAACTATAATCTAATCAATGAGAAAATGTTTTCAATATACCCTTAATTCATTAAAATTTGCTGATGTATCAATTGAGACATGTATTTGTGCACAAGCTCTATATAAATTTTTTGTTCCTTGTTTAAATATTGGTAAAATAGTACTTAATCGATGAGATTTTCTTTTTTTATTATATAATAAATTTAAATCCACATAAATTGAACCGAGTAATTTATCTGTTGTCGATGCTAATGATTGTGAATAATCATAAGTATCATTTTCACTCATCCAAATTTGTATTTCTAATTTTTCTTCACGTAAATACCATAAAAATGGTGCACTGCATAAAAATAGATGTTCTTTATTAAATTGTAGTTCACATATAAGCTTATTTTTATTTATAATAACTCGTTTTCGTTTAGTTATTATAGGCACTAAAAATAAAAATAAATAGTCGAACAAATTTCATTTTTTTTTTCAATATACTTTTATCATAAAAACGATATTGTGCAAAAATATTTATTCGATCGATATCTGTTTGTGTTATAAATTCAATAGGAAATTGAATACGATCAATGGATATTTTAACTAAACAACCAACATCTTTTTGATCTATATTAAAAAAAGATTTTAGATTGATTTTGTGGTTTAATAAAAAGACAAATTTTACCATCAAGAGAATTTTCTTCTTCTAAATATTTATTATCGAGCCAACCAAGTGTTTTAGCTGAATCAATCATTCGACGACGATCATCTTGTTGTGTAAAACGAACAAATAATTCAATACCACCCATACAAGATTCAATTGGATCAGATGATATTTCCGATGTAACAACACTATTAGCACTTGATAATGGATACCAACCTTTAATACCTATAGAGAAAAGGAAATAATTAATTAAATAATTTTATTTTGTATATAAAATCAAACCTGTATGTTTAATAATTAATTCTTTTAATGAAATTTTACAATAACATAAAAGTATATCTAATGATTGTTTCTCATTTGAATTCATTTTATGATAAATATCAATTTTTAATTCTCCATGTTCAAGCATTTCAGCAAGAGATATGGATTGATTACGATGATCACTCCAAATTAATGGAATAGGAAAATCAAGTGTATGATTAAATTCCGGTACAAAACTACGTGAAATTGTTCGTGTTGAACGAGATTCCTAAACAGATTTATTTTTTTTCATAAACAAAAGATTAAAATAGTTTACCATATCAGAAAGAAATGATAATGTTAATTTCGCATAAGTATTAACACCCACTTGAGATGGATAATTAAAATTAGTATCATGTTGTGCTTGAAACAAAGCTGCATGCTATTGAATTTAAAAAAATAGAAAAAGCAGATGAATTAATGAAAAGAATTACTTTTAAACCACAAGCACGAATAATACCGACTGATAAACACACTTGCGAATTATTATCTGATAAACGACTAGGAATAGCTTGAGATTCATTTCGCTGAAAAATAAAAATAGATTAACATAATACTTTCATATAAGACGGAAAAAATTTACCTTAATAATATTTCGTTTATAAGTAACATTTATTGATAAATCTCCTCCATATGCTGGCGTAGATGAATAATGATGCTGTTCATGTTTAGGATCTTCTTTTATAATTTCCAATGGTATACAAAATGATTGAATTGATTTATCATCACTATCCGAATGCAACATTGTTGTCATACTACATAATTTAGCAACTGATAATCTTCCCTGAATAAATAAATTTATTTATTGTATACAACAACAAAAAAACAAGAATTTTTTACTATTGCTAAAAGTTGATCACGAATATTAGGATAATAAAATCTTGACCAAACTTCAAATGGAATACTAGCATCAATTGGTGTTGTAGATTGACAAGCTATGGCAGAAAAGAAAATATAAATTAAATTTCGATTATTGAAGTTAGATTTTTTACCAGCATAAAAATATTTATGTAATGCATCTGCAGGTGAAAGTACATATTGAAATTTATTGGTATCATGAAATGTTGGATCTGATGTACATAATGTCGTAGCAGTACGTATTGTACGAAGTTGAAATGGTTTTATTGAATTCGTATTTATTATTTGTTGTTCTTGTTCTTGTTGTGTTGGAAATGAATATTGAATAAAACAATCACTTTCACCCCATACCATAGATTCAAATGCACGTAAACCATTTATACTTTCAATCATGATTTCAAAATGATGTTCTATTAATGATGATGATGATGATGGTGATTGTTCATTATTTGGAGATTTTTTAATTGTTGATGAATTACCAGTTGTATGAGCAACTTGTACAGCTGTAATTTGATCAGATGTACCCATAGCTAATAAAACTTGAATTTCTCCCGTTGATTTATTTGTAAATGGATCAATAATTGGTAACCAAGAATCCACACTAATTACTGGATATTGTGCTCGTAAAAGAACTCGACTTATTTGTTGATCTTTAAATGATATATAAAATTGTTCTAATGGTATTTTAATGATACCAATTATCTGATCAGATTGACCAGACATTTTCTTATCCCATAATTCAATTATAACAAAATTTTGATGCATTTTTTCAATAACAGACTTTGTCAATAGCAATGGAATTTTCTTAAAAAAAAAAAGAAATATATTTTTGAATAGAATTATTAAATCTAACCTGTTCAAAATTAAATTTCGGTGTTGAACTTCCCCAACAAACAGCTGATGTAATATGTTCTTCGTTCCAAAATGCTCGATGACGAAAATATGGATTACTATTATTTGAATTCGAAGAAATATTTCGAGCTTCGACAATCGATAAATATATCTGTACAACTAAATCTTCAGTGAAATCTGTTGATATGAAACTTTTTGGTATTTGTTTTGATTGATTAATTTGTTTAGATTTTGATTGTTTTGGTTTTATTTGTTCAATAAATTGTATTCGATCGAGCTCATTTTTAAAATTTTTTTCATCCGAATCAAGTTCAAGCATTAAATGTAATTGACCGATACAAAATTTTTTCGATACTTTATTTGGAATTTTTTGATTATTATTAAGATTTATTTGTGTACGATCAATAACATTTAAATCTTGTTCAAAATGTAAACTATTAGCTTTGAAAATATTTCGAAGTGGTAAAACAGCAAAACCAATTTGTTCGGGATTTGTTGTATTTGATGTACGACTATAAATTTTAAAGATTAATAATGAACGCCACCAATTTTTAAATATTGTTTTATTAAAAGTACAAGGATATGTGGTTAAATGAGAAAAAATTATATCATTATTTGATTCAAAACGTTTTGATGATATTTTCATAACTTCTGTTGCTTCTTTATTATGACCATTATGATTATTAACAACGACAGGAAATTGATATTCGATATAATATGTCCTAAATTTAAAAAAATAGTAATAATAATATAAATTAAGATTAAATTTTTATTCTTACATAGCTCGTTTACTTTTGTTAGTTCGACCAAAAGATGCATGTGATGGTGATTCTTGATCGTTAAGCATATTTAAACGAAGATTATCAATACGAATACGAGCTGTACGAACATAATTTAATAATTGAATACGTTCATTACTAAGTCCATCCTCATCTTGAGTTTCTACAAGATAAAAAATTAATCAAAGAAATAATTGTAGAAAATAAAATTTTACCATTTCCACTATCATCTATATCTGTATTAGGTCTATCTAATGAAACACGTGATTCAGTATCACTATTATTACTTCGTGTTAAACTTCGACTTCTTGTTACTGAACGTAATCGATTTGATGGCCCACTAACACGTGTCATACTTGGACTTCGTGAATGATTTGTTGATAGTTTTCTATGTGTATAAGTTTTATCATTTATACTAGTCGAACTTGTATTATGTTTTTTAATACTATTCTCATGATCATATCCTCCACCATAAAGAAGATCATCTAATAGACTTTGATCATTTTCTAATCCATCAAGATCAGTTATAATTGAACTGTTAAAATTTATAGTTGATTTTAATGATGATTTTAAATCAGGTATATCACATATATTTGCATTATCAATGAAAGCATCGATATCATCAACAGGCATTTCAAATGATTTATTTCCATAAATTTTACTATTATTAAGTAATTTTGATTCAGATAAATGATGATTTTTTTTATTAGTTGTAGTTTTTGGTAATGATGATTTAATCATATTTTCTCGAAGACGATTTGCTCGAACAATTAATTCTTCAACAACTTTACCAGTTGGAAGTTCTTTATATGCTTGTATACCTAAGTATAGAATTAATATATATATGGAAATATAAAACGAATTTTTCTACCTGGTGCTGCACTCTTTGCATTACTTCGATGTATTTGAGATGGAGTTGTTGAAGTATTTTTTTGTGGTAAATTTGAATTCTCTGTATTTTGATTATGACCAATTGTATAGGTTCGTAAACCATTTGCAAGTTTATCATTCTATAAATATAGAGTAGTTTTTATAGGTTATGATATATACGAATAATTATACTTGGTTACAATCATTTGCTCCGATTGAATTACGTCGTGATGGTGGATTACTTGTTTCGGATATATAACTCATTGCTGCTAGATTTTCATTGCTATCATGTGCTAGTAAAAAAATTGATTTTTAAAAAATCGAGAATTTTGTTTTGTTTCTTAACTTACGCCCAGGAAGAAAAAGACGTAATGAAACAAATAATTCACCTAGTTTATCTCCCTTATTCGAGAATATAGGTTGATAACCTTTGATTGGGTTATTTATTGAAAGTATCGATAGATTTTGTACTTTAACAGTGCCAATTATACGATTATTATCTGCATCACAAACTTTAAGTAATAGTTCAGCAGCGTCTGTTTAATAAAAAATAATCATCTATTTTAAAAGAAGATATGAGTTATTGTTCTACAAACCAGTTAAATATTTCGAAAATTGTTTCAGATCACTTCGAATATAATATTTTACTGTTATATTTGGTTGTTGTCGATGATCAGATTTAGTACCAGATATTTGTGGTCTAGTAAGAAGAAGAAAGAAATAAAGAATTATTATCTTCAGAAAAACTTTTATTTACTTAAATATTGCTGATACATCATCTTCACCCCACCATGTCATTTTAATGTTAATAGATCGATAAAGTGATTGATATTTCGTAAGCCAACGTAATTTAGGTATATGACAAATAAAGATTGCATGTACAGAACCTTCGACATAGGGTGGTAAATTTGTTCGAATAGAAACATCCTCTTGAATATGTTCTTTTTGTTGAGATTGAGATCGTACTCCTTTATCTATATCAAGAAAACAAAATAAACTATATAATCTTGTAAAAGACAGTATAGGAAGACTATTTTTTAAAAAGAGAAAATTTTGAATTATATTACATGTTTATTAGTCTATATTTTTGACAATTATCCTATTGATACATACTTGTCGGTGTGGTTGAGCGTTTTGCAGTTGTCGCAGTAGACATTTTTTAACATTTACAAAATGTTATGTGCTGTAGTTATTCTATATTCAAGAAGATGCTTTTGTTATCTAGAAATAGAATGATAGTTAGTTTTTTTAATCTGCGGTTAAGATTATATTAAATGAAATCGTTGTACAATTTTTACTACCATCACGAATGTCAACCGAACTGTTACTTAGCATCGTTAATCCTCTACATATAGTACATAGTATAGATGATAGTGACCTCTATGATTCGATCTAAACTAGAATATATACCCAAGATATATGATGGGTTTGTTTCAATTATTGAAACGAATGAATGTATTTTACAACAGTACAAATTATTAATTGATTTGTTATTAATTATAGACTCGATAGTATCGTAAATTTGAAACTTCAATGTGTTTTCATAACTACGAATAGTATGTTATTCCTGAAAATTTTATTTCAATAAATCTGATAGAATTATCTCGGAACCGTGAATGAAATCCATCACCAAAATACTTATATAGTTGTTATAAATATACAAATAACATACAAATTTGTCTATAACAATATATAGAGCGAAGTCATTTTTACTTTGATCTTCTTCTATCTATAATAAATTTATAATTATATAATAAATTTCTGTTTTATTTAATCGAATTGATATTATAACTAACGGATTAATATGTCAATATGTAAAGTCGAGAGAACATTAATTGTGTATGTAGATTTTTTTGTATCAATAAAACAACCATCTATTTAAATCGTTGTTTGATAATATCAAAGTATTTCTTTTACATGCCTCATTAACTACGGTCACACACGACACGATGCAGTATTATATATCGTTCATCGCCCATAACAATAGTTTCATACGATCGCGATTGTTCTTTTATGTGTCATAGACTGAATTTCTACTCATCACTAAGAAATGGTTAATTTGTAAAATATTCTTTGAATTGATTTTTAAATCAAATAGTAATGAAATTTTAACGAACATTGAATTATTAAGAGAATAGACTTAGTTGTTGATTAAAAATTAAAAATATTTTATTCTAGTTTTCGTTTTAGCTAAAAATTCATCAGAATCTTCACATATTACAATAAAATTAATTAAAACACAGTATAGCTGACCAACTTAAATATGATATTCTTCATCTATCCTTATACAATATTAATCAACGTATCTTATATATTTTAGTTATTCCTCGTATCAATTTTATTGTAAAAATTATTGAGAATGAGAATGTGGAGTGGGCAAGATTAAAAATAAGGATGTGAATGTAAGTGTAGATAGATGAGAGTACTTTAGTTCAAGTATCTTGTTTATCACTGATATGCACATCCTCATCCTTTATTCTGGTCGATTTTGAAATGTTTAAACAATGAAGAATTATAATCTATAAGATCCAAGGATTTTATATGTATGCTAAACATAATATACAAAGAAATCTAATCGATTCTTCTTATCTTTGATTTCATCTGGATGTTTTCAATTCTATAATTTTTAATAGTCTTATTAAGAAACTAGAGACATCTATATTGAATATCAGAATGATTATATTTTATTCTTGTTCTCGTCAATATTCAAATAAACACAAGAATAATTTTCTTATCAATTATATTGAAATTTTCTATTCATTGTATTGGTGTCCTTGATACAGCAGACAATGGCCACTTTCTCTTCTCTCTCCCTCTTTTTTTTCCGTTGTTTGTTTCGTTTCGCAAGGCAATAGGAAACGAACGAAAGGATTTCGTGCCTATTAATGAGTCATCTCTTACTCGTTCTAATAATATATTCCCATGTCTCACTTTGTATTTCTTCTCTTTAGATATTATATTAGAGTGTTGCAATTGCTACTGTCCCTTTATTTGTAAGTATTTATAGTCAATTAGTATTTTTAATTGCTATACACATATGTTGTATTGTTATTTTTTCTCTATATGTTCAGTTTGCTTTAAATCATTTTTCAATAATGTCAACTTTTGCTGATCGTTATAACAATTCTAGTTCAGCACCTATGTCAGAATCTGATAATGATGATGACAATGAACAGAATTCATCTTTTAATCAACAAAATGAGGTTGGATTTCAAATAAAATCATTTCAAATTTGTCTATTTTTTATTTACAGAGCATGATGCATAAAGTCAAAGATGTCGTTTCGAAACTTCTTCATCCTTCTTTCTTATTTTCTGCCAGTAATGATACATCTCGTTCGGTAAGTAAAATCAATATTCAAATAGAAACTTTCTTTTGTTTTATCATAATTATAATTTCTAGAAACGAAAACGAACGATATCGATTGAAGAAAATGGTGATGGAAAATCATCAGATGTTAACAATTCAAATACTACTACAACTACAAATGGTCATTCTACAACTTCAAAATCAAAATGTAAGTTTTTTTCTTTGTTTTAATATAAAATGATAATGGCCTTTCGCATCAATGACGAAAAGCAGTAGTACAATATGAAGGTCCTTTACATGCTATTTGTATTCAAAAATTACGGTTACCTATTTGACGACAATCGATTTTTTATCAATTTAGATCATCGTCGACCGATAACACGTGATGAACCACAATTGACTGATGATGATGAAGACAATAATGGTCAAGATGTATCTCCTACTGAACCAGATCTGACAGAAATCGACCAACAGAAGAAGAGACGTCGTACAGCTAATTATCAACAAATTAATTCAACAACAACAACTAATGGTAATCATGAAGATGAACGAACATCACCACCTTTAAGTATGTAGAATTATTTTCATATAAATAAGATTATTTGTTTTCTATTAGTCGTTTCAACGAATGGTGCTGGATCGTTATCGAATCGTCGTGGAATAGATAATGGATTGAATGGAGCTAGTACGACACCTGTTCTTCTTCAAACATCTCATGAACAAAATCATAATGAAGGAATCAATCGATCGACATTATCAAAACAACGTTTTAATATACCATCAATCAATCGAGGATTAACACCGTCTTATGATCCATCTCAATCACCTTTATTTTCTGTTGGTGCTCGAGTAAGTCATTCTGTCTATAAACACCATATATATATTAAACTATAAAATTTTTATTAGAAAATAACTGAAACAAATATGTCACCTAGTCGAACTACAACAAATCTCAAATCAAATGTTCGTTAATTTTCTTAATTTATTTATATAATTCTGGTACTTGATTTTAGACGAATGAATTCTCCGCTAATTATTTATTAGCAACAGGTTTAGTCAATCGATCTTTAGCAACACCAAACACTGAACAATCTCCTTCTTCAACAAATCGATTGGTAAGAAAAATAAAATGTTTTTGGATATTAAATACATTTCTTTGATTTAGCTATCCAATGAACGACAAATGTTCGGTGTTAATTATGCATCAATTAATTCACGTCGTTTACCATATATAGAAAGACTTCGACGACGAACTTTACAAGATTGTATACGTCTTAATCGAACACTTGAGAGTGAACCGTAATTATTTTTAAAATTCGTTTTTTTCTTCTTATCATATTAATCATCTTCTTATTTAGTTTATCGATATCAACAATCGAAGAATACACATCAACAACATCTTCTCCAGTACGAAAGCCACTAAAAGCAGCAGAAAAAGAATGTGGTATTCAATGCAATGTAAGTTTTTCGAATAAAAATAAAGAATTCTTTTTTTCATAAAATTTAATTCAATGATTTTTGTTTTTATTAGATTTCAACTACAGATAGTTCAATGGAACCAAGTAAAAAAATTCAACGTACATTTCCACCTGCAGATATTCGAAATGAAGCATTATCAGTACCAACTATGGAAAAAACGCAATCAATCAATCAAACAGATTCAACAATTCAAACAAATAGTTCAATTACTATTGAATCAAAAAAACCAACAAATGATATTAATAAACCAAAAGTAAATCAAACGATTAATTAGACTATAATTATATTTAAATTATATGTTTTAGGTACTCGGTCATATTACACCATTTTCATGGCCAAAATTTGCTCGAGCACAAACAGATTTTGCACAAAAATATCCTGAAAAATGTCGTGCTAATCCTTGTATGTATTTTTTAAGGAACTATTTGTCTTATACTTCTACTATTATTTTTAGTACCTAGTCAATCACAAAAAACAACTACTATTGAAAAGCCAGTTGTTCATAATAATAGTTCATCAGTAATTTCTCAATCAAATGCAAGTAGTAGTAGTACTGTACCGAAAGTACCAATATTTGGTGTTTCACCACCACGTTCTACTAAACCAATTAGTGGACCAATTTGGAAATGTCCTTCATGTTCAATGGAACATCCATCTCAAACAGCATCTTGTTCGCTTTGTCATGGAATTAATCCAAATTATAAACGATTGAGTGGTAAGTTCATTTTTCTAGTTTTAAAATACGTAAATAAAACTTCTTTTTTTCTATTTTATTTTTAGCGATTGAACCAACACCGCCACCATCGTCTTCATCATCAAAGAAACTATCCGATGTTATTATTCTTGAAGAACCGACGGTGTCTATACCAGTGACAACTACTACTCAAGCAACTGTTCAGTTTGCAGCAACACCAATTACAACGTTTACACCAACAATAACTAAAGAAAGTACTCTTTCATTTGCACCATCTGTGACAACAACTGCTCCTGTGATTACTACTCCATTGTTTGGTACAACATCAACATCTACTTCATTAACTACTTCTGGTACTCTTCCATTATTTGGAACTACATCATCAGTCAGCAAAGAAAATCTTCTTACAAATTCACCTGCAATTACTAGTACTCCATTTCCTGCAACAACTACGCCTCTATTTGGTACATCAACAAATACTTTAGATAAACCGACAATAACTCCTGCAAATAACCTTTTTCAAATTAATACTAATAATCCTCCAATATTTCCAGCATTCGGTTCAGCAACAAGTACCAACACTACAACAACTAGTAGTTCAAATACACCATCAACTATCACAGCAACAACAACAACATCATCATCATCATCACCAATAAAAGTACCAGCAACTATCTCATTTGGATCATTTAGTAGTACTCCATCTACAACTGCAGCTACTTCTATTTCTTCAACAATATCATCCGATAAGCCAACTCTATTTTCATTTGGTACCAATGCTTCAACGTTATCATCAACACCATCATCATCAACAATGACAACAGCAGCAGCAGCAGCAGCAGTATCAACTTCTTCAACACCTTCAAATTTATTTGCTTTTCCAGCTAATGCAACAGCACCAATCACTACAACTACTTCTTTGACATTACCAGTTTCTTCAACAACAAGTGGATTCTCATTTGCAAACAGTTTTCCATCACAATCAACATCTTCAATTGCAACAACAACAAATACAGCAACAACATCAGCTCCATCTTTATTCGGTAGTGGTTCATCATCATCATCATCAGGTTTTAGTTTTCCATCAGCAGGAGTAACAACAACAACTACATCAAGTAGTGCACCATTCGCATTCGGTGCAAGTAGTCCATTAAAACCTTTTGCTCCTTCAGTTATATCAACAAGTAATACAACTTCAACATCTGCATTTGGTGCAAATGCGTCATTTGGTACTGCTCCATCAACACTTGATAAAACATCAACTTCAGTTCCATCATTCTCAGGTTTTGGTTCAACATTAAATCCATCATCTTCGTTTAGTTTTGGAGGGACACCAAATACAACTACGAATCCTATACAAACATCAGTTGCATCAGGTGGAATAACAAGTGGCTTTCCATTTTCAGCATCAGCAACAACAGCAGCAGCACCAGCAGCTGTACCTGCATTTGGTTCTACTCCATCTACATTTTCATTTGGTGGAACACCATCATTTAGTTTTGGTTCAAGTTCAAGTTCAACTGCTCCTTCAAGTAATTCACCATTCCAATTTACTGGACAAGCACCACCACCAGCTGCTAATACGTTTTCTACTGGTTTTTCTCCTGCTACTGCATCACCTGCAACACCTGAATCTAAGTAAGAATTATTTACTGTACATAATTTATTAATAATTTTTTTGTTATATTTTAGTCCTTTCAGTGTTGGTGATGATGGTGCTGCAAATAGACGTCCTGTTATTAAAGCTAAACGTCGAGCTAAACCATAAGAATCTTGTTCGTTTGTAGTCAAACATATTAGAACAATATTATTCATAGTCGTGCTTTTTTTGTCTTTCTGTGTGTAAGTGTGTGTGTGTGT